CAGCCAGTCCACCAAAATTCCAGGATACATCCGCCCAATCAAGGCTATGTAATCCAGAACAGCTGGAATTGTGGGGGCCCTCCGCCTCCAAACGGCTCAATCTTGTTCAAAATCGACTTTACTCCGAGTCAAACGGGACGAAAAAAAATAAACAGTTTTCTTGGCATTGAAAGAAAACAATGAGGGATTTTTATCAAGGAAAAGGGGAAAAGAAAAACAGCATTTATGTACACGCATCTTTCCCCTTGGGTGAAACTAACACAGGCTGTGTGACTCATGTATAGTATTTTGAAAGAATTGCGGTTCGTTTTCAAAGAAGTAATTCGAGCTTCATCATAGTCGACGAGTGTCTCCCTACGGTTGGCGGAGCTTTGTTGGCCACTGAGCCCCACATGGGTAGGACTTGCTGATCAATCTGCGATGACGTTGGTGTGGCATTTCCGCCTCCACGCCTCTTCCGCCAAGATGAATTTAAGATCCTGAGAACGAAAGAGATTTTTGAAGTGAGAATCCAAGAGTTTTTTACATAGGTAAAATGAACTGATCAACATCGAACTGACCACTAGCTTGGCGGTCGGAGGACAACAGACATCGATCTCATCCCTCCTACAGCGTACACCCTCAGCTCGGTCTTCCAAATTCCCATTAATCGTTGTATCCAAAAGTATTCTCAACCTCGGTCAATGGCTACAAGAATCCGTTGAGGAAAAAAAAAGAAAGAAAGAATACTCACAAACTTTTTGTCGTTGTTTATCGGTATAATGTTCGAAAAGACAAGCATGTTCCCAACGGGGTGCACCGCCACAATCTTTCGATTCGACGGTTTCAAATTTGAAAACAACAGCCAACGCGAAGCATGTTAATTTGATAAGGTTCATGATGTCGAAGGAGATTCTGAGAGCGGAACGGTGAGGGAGTATACTTTTTTTATACAGCGGATGTTGTACGGGGATGATGGAGCGGATGATTGGAGAGCGATATATAATAACAATTGTTGAAGGAGAAAACTGGTGCGTCAGAGATATTCTAGTGTGTTGAAGCTGCCTTCCCTTTTATCCACATTTCCACCAGGAGCCTTGCGACTACACGATCAGTAGTGGGAAGATGCCTCTTCGGTATTTCTCCGACAATCAAGAAGGCAAAATAATACGTCTTGGTCGATACAGGGTTCATCTTTCCGAACCAGCTTGATATTGGCAACAGGGTAACGCCGAGCGCTTGATCAGAGAAACAACTGAACCCCTAATGTGCTGGTTGAGCACACGTGAGGGTTCCCTTCTTCGCGACAAGTGGAGAAGAGTGAATGTATGAAAAAAACAAGTTAGGCGACGATGAATGAGGAAATGGAATCTGTTGAACTCAAGACTCGTCGGAGACCATTCTTTTCGTTTGCTTCTTGAGTGGCAGCTTCATGAAGTTCGGCACTGGAGAGGTGTGAGCTTCGGTCGCATTGAACTCTCCGATACAGCCAGCCTAATGTTACCGATGGAGCCCCTTAAAGTGGACTACACTGCCTCGGCAGCACGACTGCGCGTAGTTGCGAGACGTGACAGACCCCCCCCCCCCATCGCAGCTTAGACCCCTACACTGCTCAATCACATGGAACGTCAAGACCGATATTTTTGCTCCGCGGTACACGATCATTGGAATCGCGCTATCGAGAGGGTTGGGAGGCAAGGATTTGATGCTGCTTGAGCTTTGTATTTACCCCACTCTAGACAGTTGCAAAACTCAGAGAGACTCAAGCTGGGTTGCGCTTTTGCGTGTTCTAAATTCAAGTCGATTGAAATTCTCAAGATGTTTTAATGGAAAGAAGAAGGGCATATATTGCATAGATTTTCAAGATACAAATTTACTACTACAAAATAATACAAGAGAAGAAGGCCAGCACCGTCAATTCAGGTGGGGGCTGCAGTCTGCAGACGAGGAAGCATAACAAGCACGGCCCGGCAAACAGGGCAAGTGTTGGCCGTTCCAAGCCAGGGCTGCAATAGAAAAGGATTGAAGTCAGCTATGATGTGTGTGAAGGTTGCAGAGGTTAAGGAGAGATACTTACTGTAAGGCAGTCGCGGTGAAAGAGATGGGTAGGGTGACAGGGAAGTTGGAGAATGATCTGTCCAGGTTGAATGATGTCCTCGGCACAAATTTGGCATTCCAAAGCGTCACCGTCGGGGGCGGCGGCGGCAGCAGTCGCGTCGGATACGACCAGAGATTCCAAGAAAGCGAAGGTTTCACGGCGGAATCGGTGAAGAAGTTCAATCGTAGAAATCCAGAGAGCATAAATTTGGATCAAGGGTGTTTGAAGTAGATTCCTTGTGTAGGCGTCCTCAGTAGAAAGCTCTTCCTCATCCAACTTGACAAATGCTCGACGAATGTGAGACGGAACAGACCCAAGGAACCGTTGGTATCGGGCGTCGTCCAGGCCGTTGCCGAAAGGATTTGCATGTAATTCTTCGTAGCATTTGAACAGACCATCGAATTCTTCGAGGAAGAGCAATCGAAGGCGACGTCGCAGGCGATATAAAGCCGCAAAGGTTCCATCTATCAATTCATCATTCATTTTGTATAACTATTAGACTAAGTTGTTGTTTTTTGTAGTAGCTCTTTTAGTATGGGTGGAGGAGGGAGGCAGAGGGAGAGATGGACACTGAAGGTGGGGTGAGGGGGGACGGTATGGCTGGAGCCATACGTCTATAAATACCTTTCATCCATGCGGAGCCTTTTCTGTAGCAGCACTTGTAGTAGGCTCGGGGGTTAGTCTGCTGAGACTGGTGCTGCTTCAATCAATTGAGTCAACGGCTGCAGAGGAGGGCTCAGCTTGATTGATGCTACAGGCAATGTATGTTTGGTAGCTGCTGAACATTGATCACGATTTCTCTACATCTCTTTGTGCCGTCGACAAGGTAACTGCTTTTGACAAAGGCTTTTCTTCCCTCACCGTTGGTGTACTTCTGCCGAAGCGGCGGCTATTTTCCAAGTGTAATGTGTTTCGCAACAATTTGCACGGAAACATATTTCCATCCTAATTCTCTTTCTGATGGAGGAGGGCTCAGCTCGACAGATGCTTTCAGTGAGCTAGGCAAGGCAGCATCTGAAGGATGGCGTTTTCACTAGGTATTCTTTTCCGGATCTGCTCGCCGTGCACCTTCGAGCGGGGGGGGGGGGGGGGGCAGCGTGCGTAAATCTAATCAGCTCAGGTGACGTGCTCGGAATGTCGGTGTCTTGCCATTCGCTTGCATCCATCGCCGGTTCAACAACGCTTGAAATCTGTGAAGCTCACTAGCAAATCCCATTTTCATTGGGGTTGATGCGGTAGAGCCCTTGGGTGCAAAGCGTTCCTGAGCAGTAGTAGGAACTGGCCTCCGTCTCTTGATGGATGAAATACAAGCCGGCTAGGGGCTGGTCGTGCCGGCCCATTGCACAAGCTCTTTTCAGGACCAAATGGCTGGGCTGGTTGCTGATATATAAAAATCTGCATGGAGGCCTTCGTAGTTACCCTTCTCAACCCAACCTCCGTTCGTTTTGACTATTCTATCTGTGTAAGAGTTTGGAATTCAAAAAGATTCACCGAACATCGACAAGCGCAGGCACTTGGCTTTCATTTCATTTGGCCAAAGAGGATCTTATTAACAAGTGCTGGTTTAGAGAGTTTTACTGACAAAAAAAACATGGGGAAAGCAACACAAATGTATTAATGGAGATCTATATAACAGTGACAAACAAAGCATCACGGCTAGGGTATTTAACCGGAGTGCTGCATGAGATTTCAGATGGCTTGTCCCTCGCAATGCATCTTCCACGCTTGTTCCACTAAAACAAATTTGAGATCCTGAAGTGGGAATACATTGAGGTCAGAAAGCAAGACTTAGACAATCACCGAATGATTATATACTGAGATGTAAAAATCTGACTCACTACCAACTTGCCCGGAGGACAGCAAATGTCGATCTCCTCCCTCCGACAGCGGACATTCTCTGCTCGGTCTAAGACACATAAATCCCATCAATCAGCCAAATTAATTTTACTCTTTGGTTAACGGAAATGATAAATGGATTGGCGAAGAAAGCGAAAAAGAAAAAAAGAAAAAGGAATTTCAAACTTACAAACTTTTTTTCGTATTTTGTCGGTATAATGGTCAAAAATGCAAGCATGTTCCCATCCAGGCGCACCCCCACAATCTTTTGATTCAACGGTTTCGAGTTTGAAGGCAACAGCCAAAGCAAAGCATGCTAATTTGATGATGTTCATGATGTTGAAGGAGGAGACAGCGGAACTATGAAGGAGTATTCTATTTTTACACGGGTATTTGATAGGAGAGGTAGAGTTGGAGAGAAGTATACAATAACAATTTTTGATAGGTGGAATTGGGTCCATATACATGTTGCTGAAGCCATCGGCCATTTTAACCACATCTCCCGGAAGCGCCTTGTGATTACTGAGGGTAATTGCAAGACGATTGGTAACAAAGTACACAACGCCAAGCGAAGCAGGACCTGTAGCCCCTAGAGAGAAACAACTGAACCACTTGATGTGCAGGTTTGAGCACATGCGAAGGGCTCGAAGTGAACCCTTCACATAGCGGTTATGTCGCGCCTTGCAGACCGGAAGAAGTGAATCACTTCTTCCGGTCAAGGCGCGACACACCCGCTTTTGACAGAAAGAAATGAAGCCCCATATGCTGAAGCTGCACACACGGCTTCAGATTGTAAACACTACCACAGTGGAACCAACTCCACTACATGATTTCAACCAAAATTGGAGGCACTATGAAGTTAGACAGTGGCCCTACGACCCCCACCTCGGGCAAATCCGAATGCGCTACTTGGATTGTCAACGTCCCATAAGGGACTCGCCTCACCTGCTGGCAGCTTGCTACCGGATGAAGCACACGTACCGCACCAATCAAAGTGGTGTTCGAGGTTTGTGGGTACGGTACAATTACTTCAAGACTTGTTTACTTATGCCTATTTATGCAGAGTTTTTCACAAATTTACATCGAGTTCAAAGCATCGAGCCCATAAAACATAATGGTAGACAAACACCATCTTTAGAGCTATGAAAGAATTATTCTGATTCCTGGATGCATTGTTAATCCATCAAGTTTAATTGTTGTGACTGTTTTGATTGTCAAACCATCCCTGCCCCGTCATGACTGAAGTTCTTTTGATGACTCAGAGTCATACTGGGTGACTGTGGTGGCCAAAAGACCTTTGCTGGCTTGCTTGCACCAGCCTGAGCGCCCACTTCATTCTTTTCTGGATTTGCCGGCCTTGCAACTTCTATCACCGGTGGGGCAGCTTGCGTAAACAACTCGGGCGACTTGCTCGGAATGTCGGTGTCTTGCCCTTCGCTCAGTTTCCAATACTTGAAGAGCTTCATAAACGCGTAAATCCCCACCGCTAGCAGTGAACCTAGCGTAGGCCCGATCCTGTTGCACAACGCATAAGATCAATCTTCGGTCTCGTTTCTTTGATGAACTTCTCGTATGTCACGTATCAAATTCCTAACGATAAGAATAAGGAGCTTGATCTTGAAACGAACCAATAAATCCAATGTTCTGGCGAAAACCCAGAAACGACCGCAGGACCAAACGACCTAGCAGTGTTCATGCCAGCTCCAGTATAGACAATAGCCTAAAAAGCAGATAAATTCACGAGATTTAAACTCCGGAAAAATCAGCTTACATTTCTGGTCGTACCAAGCGCTGATAGTAAAATGGTGAATCATTTCATAGGATATGAACTATAGCTAACAAATAAATGACCCGCAAAGAGAGTAATTCCGATACCGATCGGGGCCAAAAAGGTAGCTTTGTGTTTTTCAACCGCCAGGAATAGCACCGAGAGGACCAGTGCACATGTGATAAAAACTTCGATAAAAAGGCCTTGGGCTGCACTTGTGCCGGCTCCAAGAGTAGTCGAGACGGCCAATGGCCCGGGCAAGATAGCTTGTAGAACAGCAGAAGCCGCTGAATAATAAAACCGTAAAATAAAATATGTTAACCGAGGAATCGTCAAGGACGCATACATGTGACTTACCAATCGAAGCTAAGAGTTGTGCGGTGGTGTAAAGCACAAATCTTAGAGGGCTGATTATCCGGATCAACAACAGGGCAAGAGATACGTTGCTTTGGGTTTGAAACCACATCCGTACCAGTGTGTCGAGTTGATTCATAAATAGTGATAAGAAGAGAAGGTTCAAGGAAAATAGGTATCATCAGAAAACTTCACAGTGATCAAATGATTTGAATATCAAAACCACATTTTCTCAATGTGTATGGAAACCCAAACTCACGGATTGAAGGCCGCGCCAGTAGCTCGAAAAAATATCCAGCAAGAAAATAATAAACTCAGGCCCATAGAAGTCGATACATACATCAATAACTTCAGTTTTTTTTCATCAAGAAAAGTAGAACAAGTCGGATCAATGGATCTGAATGACTCTATACAATTAGAAGAAGGATCACTCACGTTCAGGTTTGGGACAGTACTGTTCCCGGTAGTTGAGATAGAATTGTCCGTATTAGATGTTTTGCCAGCCTTCAAGGAGAGTTTTGGTTTGGTTGAGGGGAATATCAAGTTATATGAAAAGCCAGTAGTTATCGAACCCCGGACGCGAAGATCGATGAAGTGGACAGAAGTTATCGAAAAAAACAGAGGACATGGCAAAGATGAGTGCTTGCCCTCTGATGAGTTCTTATATAGGTCTTGATCTGCAAGGAGGATCTTTACTGACTTGAATGCCACCCAAACCGACGAGCAAAAACACAAAAGTACCCATAAACTCGCCAACGGCTGCAATCAAATCGATTCTAGATTAAAAAAAAAAATGTCATTGCGGTCAGCGTTCAATCTGAATCCAGATGGATACGTTCATCTATTAGTGAAAAACAATTACTCAACTTGATTTGTGAAAACATGTGTGGCTCGGCAAAAGATTTGAAATATTGGCTCAGGGAGGCCTCTGGTCTATTCTGTGCTTTCATTTCCGTAGGTCTTTGAACCTTCGATTAGAAATTGAACCGAGCTGAAAGTGACAGTCGACAATTGAGCCTTTAGAGAGTTTGAGTGGGTTTGCAGGTTCAGATCGCTTATGATGAGAGCAGTTCCTCAATACCTATTATACTTGTTGCGGTCTTCAAGATTCAGCTTTTATTCTACTACAGTCGTACTAGTCTTGATTTTTGGTCTTAGGATCTCCATGACAAGAAATGAATGATAGTGGATTGGATGAATGCTTACCACAATCTATCGATGCTGATTTCTTCTCTAGTTCACTTATATAATATTTTCTTAAATCTTGCGGTAGTTATGAGCATCAAATCAGCAAGCAGGAGGAAGGTCGACTGACGGTCAAGAGGGACGATGGGGCGGTGTTGGTTGCCCTTAGAGGGTTCAACGGTCGACTGCTTTTCAAGTCAGGATTTGATTCTCGAGTTCATCATGGGCTCACCCCGGAGCTTCCTCTCCCTCTGCCCATGGCATCATCAGTAGCGTCCTTCAAGGGCCGAGGTGCTCAGATCAATTGTCAAAAAAAAGTGGCGGCAGCGAGGAAAAGAGATTGAGGAAAGCTCCGATCGATCGTCCATGGGGATCTCTAGTGGCGAACCTTCTTTCGTTTGGTATTCCTGCCCTCGTTTACCATCTTCCATCTCCCCACCTCTGCTCTGGATCTCTGCGTTTATTCATTCGACCCAGCTTTTGTAATTACGGCCAACTCCTTTGTTTGAACATGGTGAACTCCGTTGTCGAAACCGGCCAAAAAAATCGACAAGCTTTCAGGCTATAGCCGAACGGCACGACACGACCAGCCACTGACGGTCTTGGCTTGGCCTGACCGAGAGACCGGAAGGGAAGGAAAGAGAAGGTGGGTCAAATGAGGGGCCCGATCATCACGATTGGGGAGCCCTACCACCAACATTGGCAGAGCCGTTCTGAACGATCCCTCTACTGCTAAGAGGTCCACCTGCCATATGATCTTATAAGCTGTCAACCACCGACCTCACGGTGGTGATTCCGAGGTGATCTAAAGCCGGGTTGAGTCTCTCTGAAGCTCGTTGGTCAGCTTTAACACGGGTTTACCTAACACAGTAGGATCGCAGAGACTAATCGGTACCACTTGCATACAGCGCACAAAAATGGCACTTCAACTTTAATGCCGGACTCCGGAACGGGAACGCGGGTCCGGACTCCGGACTCGGAGCAAAACAATCTTTCACGGCCAAGCGTGTAACCTTAACATTAAGGTTTCACGTAATCCATTGGCAACTGGAGATGAATTTCGGCCGAAACAAATTTGTACGGCTGGAGTGGAGAGACATTCAGGTCAAAATCCAGCAAACTCGGGCAAATGATTCCCAATCCTAATGATAATTTTACTTACCGACTCCACGCCGGGAGGGCAACAGATGGTGGTCTCCTTCCTCCCACATAATGCATTAGCCGCTGGGTCCAGCAGACCACATTGATCGGACAGGGAATCAATCTGACTCAGCTCAAATGCAATCGTGGGCTGGGAGGAATGAATAGGAACACAATTCAACTCACAAACTTTTGGTATATCATGGTTTGTATGGTCTTTGGAAATGCAAGCATGCTTCAAGCCAAGACTACATTTTTTGGAGTCAACAATTGAAAAATTCATAACAATAGCCAGTATGAGACTTGTCAAATTGAAAATTTTCATAATTTTGCGGAGGGATATTCTTTGATAGAGTTGATGTTTGATTGTGATGGTCAAAGCGGTGATTGGGACTTGATGGCACTTCTTGAATTACCTTGACATTATCATAGGCTGAGACAATTTGCCTTTTTATCCACATCATCATGCCTCCCAAAGGAGCTTTGTAATCATAACAAGTTGACAAGAAGAAGCCTCTTCAATCTTGAAATCAGGTTTGAGGCAATATATACATATCACAGACCAACCAGGCCTGATCAGGCCACTTAAGACGCCGGGCTTGTTTTCCCAAAACAGCTTGATTGTGATGTTGGAATTTCGTCTCTTTTCTTCTCATCCCTAAATAACTCATCTAACTCACTTTTAAATTCATAATGATCATCTTGTCAAGTTGTCTAGTGCTGAAATCCTTGTAGTCTTTGAACCCTGGTCTAGTCTTTATCAAACTGTCATTTACTCCAATTATCTTTTCAAGCATATGCTAAATCCTTGTTATTCATTTTGATATTTGATTGTTTCTCAACCACAGATTGATCTTGTTGTACGTAGTTTATTTAACGCGTAGACTCTACTAGCAAATAAAATCCATTGGCTCTCACACTCCTTTTCCGACCCTTGAGTCTTTCCATCGAAAATCATTTTTTGTTGCCCAAAAATTCTCTCTTCTCAGGAAATTCTCCGACTCTCCGGTCAAAATTTCTTCATGTGACAGAAGAGTAGAGTCTTGCCAAGCAGTGTTTGCATCCCCTTGTGCAAGTCTCAATTGATTGACCCCCTGGGGGCAACTTCAATGTGTAGGGGTTCATTTCTTTTGGTCAAGAGGCTGTGAAGCCCCTTTTAGCAGAAGACTTGTAAAAGTATCTGGAACCTGTCAGGGGTTAATAGCATCAAACCCCCTCATAAAGAAGAAATGTATAGATAAAAGAGAAATCAAATTGAATAAACATAAAGCACTAGGCACACATAATGATAATGAATAATAATAAATAACATAAATATATACTGCGGCACAGTAAATAATACCAAGACACAACGTGCCTTAGTCCCAATCATTGATAGACTCATCTACTATTTCCATTCCATTCTTCATACCCCATCAAATTACAAGACAAAAAATTGGCCAGAGGTTCCTGAAATTAGTTAAAGAAGCTCTAATTTAATAAAGAATAGAGTACCCCCGCATGATATACACAACTAATAGTTTCTTAAAAATCATCAAGACTCAAGACCTGACCTGCCAACTAAGTAGCACTCCTTAGCCTTTACATTACTGTAGAAGCTTTCACTACCTACTTAGAAGGCTTCAGCTCTTTGCCTCCTCAAAATAAATAATTACTAGATTTATATCTTTGTCTCTACACTAGTTCATGCCTTCCTCACAACTCTCTTATGACCAATATGACCATTCAGATTCCTTAAATTTTCCCTGCCTATTAACGTGAACTTGTTAACATTTACCCATCTCTGAGAGCTCTCTTGTGATTCCCTTGCCAAAGTCAAAGTCAATAATAATTAAAATTTATATCTTGTTGTTGTTCTCTACAGTCAGGCTCTAGCTAATACTTTTGCCATCAGTAAATACCCCAAGCCTGACAGAGCCAATCTTATTCTTTCCAAAATTGGGAAGACAGTCAAGGTAGACAGTGGAGCATTTTTACGCATCTGGCCTTCTTGACAGAACAACAAACTCTGACTCCTGAGGGAATTTCCTTCCTTATTGACAGCTTTCTTCCAGATTATTTTCATGTAGTGTATCACATCCATCAAATCAGTAATCATATACAGATGGATATGGCCCACAGACTTAATTATTGATGTAGAATTGTTGGAAATTTGGCATCATCTTCAATAATTGGAAGTTGGTATAAACCTTGTGAAACCTATAAAAATATGCTAACCAGAAGTTCAAGGCAGCTTCACCAACAGTTGGCAGATACCACAAAAATATTTCAATCCATTATCCACCAATTTTATTTGTGACTGCAAATTTATTGATGAACATTTTGAAAGAACCTCAATGCCATGCAGCAACACTAGCACAAAATTGGCTGTGTTCAATTTATCCTAGTTAAAAATATCCCAGGTAAATTGGTTTACCCTCAATCCAACCAATAAAATGAGACATACTCCATCTGGTAAGATGAAAAAGAAAAAGTGTTGAATCACATTTGGTGAATGTGTGATAATTCAGATAGAACAGAATTTAGGACATGTTGCAAGACAAAGACTATAAGAATGAGGAGGGAGAGAAGAAGAGAAAGAATAAATCAAATTAGTTCTTTTGAAAACAAACACAGAGAGAGGGTTAAGAAGATAGAATAAAGAGAGAAAGAAACAAACAACAGAGGAAAGGTGTTTTAGTTTGACACAGTTAAAAGAAGATAGAGAATTTGGGAGCTCAATCTAAAGGGAAACATGGAATAAGTTGCTGTTATCAATGTTGATAGTCTTGAAGTTGGACCGTGGTTGTTTCTAGATTGGTTGAGGACTGGGAGAAGATTGGGTCGGAGGACCTTTTGGAGAAGGATTTTTCTAGCCCTAAGCAGTTGATGAACATGGTACGCAGCTTAGATTATAATCATTGCTAGTGTTGCAGAGATTTTCCAAGAGCTCAGAAAAATTAAACAATCAACAGGCTGGGCCGGCCTATGAAGGATGGTACAAAACTCTTTGGGTAATCAGTAACTTCTTTCCAAATATGTACAGCCTAAGGTGTCCAGTAATGGATGAATAATTAATTGTGCAGAGAATTGGTCAGAAAATTGCCAGGGATACAGTGTTGGAATTTATGCTTTTTCTTATTGTGCTAGGATCTATTTATGAATCCATTTAGACTGGAATGTATGTTAAATATTTTAGGAAGCTATCCAAGACTACCAGAATGGAGCACCCACACTGCCACTACTCACAGTTGTCACAAAAATAAAACTCAACCAATTACATAATCAATTAATCCCAACAACTATTTAGTCCTTACAGCCTCCCCACTCTCCTAGCTTGGCAGAGAGATACACCACTTTCTTTTTTACTGAGATGGGCAAGTCTTTCCTTTTAGTTCCCTCATTCTCATTAATCATTGTTTCCTTTTCTACCAAGCTCATTCATTTTGGCAAAAAATGCACAGGTTCTAGAATTTGGTTCTCTCCGGGCACATTGTCTGAATTCTATTTGATTTATATATAGAACCATTGAAGATTAGATGTGACTCTTACACATAATTCTTCAGCTACTAAGAAAGGAGGATGGTGAATGAAAGTTCAAAAAGACATAAACAAAATGTGTCAAATTGAACCAGTTCCATTTGCAATATGTATGGAATGAAATTATTTCTAATTCTAAGAGGCAGTTTCTTGAGGTGCATGGTTCGTGAGGATTTTTCTCCACAACTCATGTGGCCAATCAATTTTCAAAATAATTTTCCATCTTCCAGTTAATTGGTTGATTGGCTTCTCTCCAGGAAGTTCATTCTTAAAATCTATGGTATACCTTTGTTCAAAATAATCCAAAAAATAGCTTTAAGCTTCAATGGCCCATCAGTTGGATTATGGTGTTGCAAGCCCATCTGGGCACATACCAAAGTTTGACCAAAAAAGGCCAAGTGCAGTGGGACAATCACAAATCCTTCTTAGGCAATCCTAAATAGAGATCGTTCGTCGGTACCCGTTGCTAGGTACCTAGTACCGCTCGGCGGGTACCGCCCGCACCCGCCTCGCACCCGCCAGGCGGTGCCGGGTGCGGTGCCGGGTGCCGGTTTTTTGGCAAAAAAAGGGGAGGTACCCGGGTACCGCTCCGGGTACCGCCCCCAAGTGTCTTGACCGGAAGGGTTTCCTTCCGGTCAACGAGGTACATGTACCTCATCGACCGGAAGGAACCCCTTCCGATTGATGAGGTACATCTACCTCATCGACCGGAAGGAAACCCTTCCGGTCAACCTGGCCGGGACGCTGGGGTTCCCCCCAGCCTCAAGGCCATTTTTTTTTCTTTTTTTTTCTTACTTTTTTTTCTTTTTTCTTTTTATTTTTTTATCTCTTTTTTTCTGTTCTTTTATTTTTTGTTCTCTTTTCTTTTTCCTTTTTTTTCTCTTTTCTCTTTTCTTTTCTTTTCTTTTCTTTTTTTTTTTTTTTTTTTCAGCAATTACAAACAGTTTTTTTTAAAATTCTTTTCAATTGTTTTTGACTTTATATTTTTTATGTTTTTAAAATAAAATGATAGTCACAATAAATCCCCCCCAAAAAAACTCAAACAAGATGCAAAAGGATTGTAATGAACCTTGCAGTCAAACTAAGTGAGGAAGAGAGGGGAGGTACCCGCGGTACCTGCCAAAAGTACCGCCGGTACCCGCCGGGAGGTGCCTGGTGCGGTACTTGGTACCTATTTTCTGAAAAAAATCAACAGGTACCTAGGTACCAACAGGTACCCGAGTACGAACGAACGATCTCTAATCCTAAAGCGGGTGTGGGGCACATGCCAAAATTGGCGGGGGGTTGCTTGGCCAATATCAAGTGATGGTGCCACTCCTTCCAAAAATCAATGCAACCTGTAACTGAAGGGTTTTATTGATGTTTTTGTTTCTTTAATAATCATATGGGAGGGTAGTTAATGTATTTCTAGATCAATGTAGTTGTGTATCAGCATTTTTGCATTTTGTTCCACATTTTGTTCTACATTTTTTATGTCAATGCACTTCCAATTTGCTTTTTGAAGCCTTTCTTTTTGAATCTGTTGTTGAAATGCACAGAGCTCCTTGGTAAGGTTGCAAGCTCGTTGTTTCTTTGATTCAAGATCTAAGTTGTCTGGGTCCATGATGTTTGATTCTGACATCTGTGTAAAAGCCAAAAAAAAAAGACAAGAGACAGATAATAAATTAAGAATGATGATGACAAATAAAATAAAGAAGAAGAAAAGAAACTCATCAAATCTGCAAAACAAAACCAGATCCAAGTTTGTGGTGGAGTTGTTGTTGATGATCCTATGTGACCCTATTGACCCAGTGGGGATTGACTATGTGTCAAGTCCCACCCCTCACATAACTGGCATGATCAAGCCCTCTGGGCACATCTCATACCCTGGTGGTACTTGGCCAAGCAGGACTTTGGATTGTGCCCAGGCGTGCTTGCAAGACCATATTTGTTGACCAACAAGTCACACAATTTGTATCCACTTAAATTGCTATGTATCTGCTGTTGGAAAATAATCCTGTGTGTAAGATGAATATGCAATATCATTACAGTGACCGCTCAAAGTTTGACTCAACCAATCCTGTTCCATTTGTCCCAAGTTGCAAGTCTAGATCCCAAAAAACAAACTCAACAAGATTCCAAAAATTCAGGAGGAGCTAGGTTTAAACACAAGTGGAGGTACACGGTCTTTCCCACTTTCCTCTCTTCCTTTCTTTTCCTTCATTCTTATTTTGTTCTCTGTCCTCTAGCTTTTTCTTGTGTTTTCATTGATTGATTTCTTGTTTCATTTAGGATTGTCTGTTATATTCCATTTCTTATTCCTTTGTAATCTTCAAGAAAAATAAACTTTGAGTTCTTACAAGGATCTGACAATAAGAAGTTACATATTTTTCATTCATTCATCTGTGTCATCTTCTTCTCTTATGTCTCTCCTTATTTCTCTCTCTTTCTTATTGATTTCTTTCTTTTTTATTCTTTCTGTGTTATTCTTGAGTGTCATACTACTACTAGATTTTAGATAGTGTGCTGCAATCAATTTTTATAAGTCTCAAATTCCTACATTTACAAGATAGCTTGCACACAGTTTTTTTTTCAACCAGTCTTCTTCTGTAAATGGATGTGAAATTAGTTTAGCTGGGAGATAGCAGGGAAAATTGATCAAGAACAATAAGGATGAATTCTGGCAGGATATGTAGCATGATAGGGCCCACTGATGTTTGAGCATCAAAAATGCTTTGTAAATTCTGCCTTGCCAATTGATTCTTGCAAACCCATTTTCAGCAGGTGTACTTATTCTGGGGATATCGTTACATAGGTTGAAGAGAATTTAGACAACTTTTGATTACCCACTGTACATAAAAATCTGGAAGACACTGAGAAAAGTCTTGGAAGGGAAATTTCATGTTTTATTCGTCATAAAAGCCAAAATTAACAGATTAGGATTAAAGCTACATGCGAGTTTGTAGCGAAAAGAAAAAGTAGGTATAGCAAGAAAATCCAAGCACAGTTGACGGGGTCCAACTATATACAAACGATTGTAAAAATGAAAATGAAGTGGATAAAGTAGGCGGAGTGCTAGTCGGAAAATCAAACGATTTCAGAACCTATGGATTGCGTTGGGTGACCACTTGGGCCGGATTCGTGATGACCTTCCTCGTTGTTTGCATTGCCCCTGAGGAGATCGGTGATTTGGCCAAGACTTGGCAGGAGTCGCTGAGCATTGTTAGGTTTATCAGTGCCGGCTTCGATTTTTTCTTGAAAGAACAAATCTGGGGATTTGCTGCCCTTGTCGGTATCTTGTTCAAGGTTCAATCGCCAGTACTTGAATCGTTTCATAAGCGTATAAATCGTGACAGCCAAGAATGACCCAAGCGTCGGACCAACCCTTGTTGAGTGCAAAGTGAACAAGCAAGGAAAAATTAGGCTTTCACTGTTGGTCCTGAATTAATTAAGCATGTTGCATTTACCAATACACCCAATGGTCATTTCCGAAACCCGTGATAACAGACGGCCCAAACGCCCTAGCCGTGTTGGTAGCAGCTCCAGTGTATACGACGGCCTAAAACACAAATTCAGATCAGCATACCCTGGGCGGGAAGGTCTTTGGTAGTATTGAAAGGCGCACAAATAGATGTCCAGCAAAGAGAGTGATACCGATTCCGAGCGGTGCCAAGAAGGTGGCTCGATGCTTCTCTACGGCCAAAAACAACACAGATAAGATCAAAGCGCATGTGATGAAACATTCGATGAAGACGCCTTGTGCAGAATTGGTATCAGCTCCCAAGGCTGGGGTTACTGCCAAAGGTCCCGGTAATAGGATTTCAAGCAATCCACAGGCAGCTGTGAATGATTTGTTTTTCGTCAGTTCAGTTGATTACAAGGTAATTTGAAATTGAAGTGATCCTTACTGATTGCGCCCGCAAATTGAGAAATCACATAAAAGAAAAATCTTGTTGGGCTAATGACCCCCACCAAGACCAAGGCGAATGAGACGTTTCTGAGAGGATGATTCGGATTAGCATGAGGGGAACAAGCTGAATCACCGCAGTGAAAACGACTAGTATCCAAGCGACGAACGGGTTGAAAGCTGCACCCGTGGCACGATAGAAGATCCAAGCTGAAAACAGCAAACTCAATCCCATCGAGACCGAGATATACGTTAATTGCTATCAGGTCAAATGTTTCAAGTTTTGCGGAGGGGTCAAATCAGCACCAATCCATGTAGTTGCCTCCTGTAAAACAGCGGTTCATACCTCGATGGTAGCCACGGTGTTAATAGCACTGGCACCTTTACTGGTCTCACTCGCAGTCTGCGTGGCCGCTCGAGCCAGTGTGGCGGAATTGGAAGTACCAGCGGCCTGAATTCGTGGAAAAAAAAGGGGGGAACGTTGTCAATCTCATCATCCTTGCGGCCAGAGCAGGATAAAGCATGGCTACTGACTTGAATGCCACCAAGTCCCAGGAGCATAAAAGTGAATGTACCGACGAATTCGCCGAAAGCTGCAACCATGTCATTTCTATGATCATAAGAAGGAATGAGTATTGAAAAGATATTTTTGACTTGGCTTGGGCGCAGACATACTTGAAGTCTCTTCGCAGGTCCTCTCGAGTGAATTTTAGATGACTGAGTTTCAATCGGGTAACGGTGACTGTATGAGGCATGATGGGTGGTGCGTTTACCCAAAGAAAGTGATAGGAGGAAAACTGGTCTGGAATATTAGCGAAACAAGAGATGGATCGGTTGATGCAAAGCTTTTAAGAGATTTTGGCGAAGCTCATGTTCAAGCTCTCTCGCTTGCAGTCGGTTGACCGCCCTTGTGCACCAGCCAGTGAATTAATTCGGTTGTGGACTAGTGCTACAACTAGCCCGTTCAGGGTGGAACGACTATCTACCAAGTGACCAATGTCCTGGCAGACCATTTGCTGCCGTTAGCCTGTTTGTAGTTTTGAATGATTACAATCTCCCAATTGTGAGAAAGACCGACTGAATCGCGGAGGCATGCTTCGCTTGAGGCCATGCGGAAAATGCCCAGCTCATTCACTCGAAGGCCCAGACATCTCGTTGGCGGGTGCGCGCGGTTCAAGCGAGATCCCCACACTCGTCTCGAATCGGGGCACTGGGCAGCGGTGTATCATCTCAACCGTGTTATCCTTGGATACACGAACGAAAGTCGGTAACACATCCGTTCCGTTCGGGCGCTTGCTGAATATAGCTTCCATGTTCGTGATGCAGTGAGCATGTGCTCTCTCGCCTCATTAAGCACAAAAGAGACCATCTTTACCTGCTGTCATGACTCAAGGGCTCCTTCGAACGTTGGCTTGTGATTGTAAAAGGACTTCACAATCCACCCCGGTATTCTAGACTTTCTGCTTCAGGCTTACATGACCCACTCCATGGTGTAGGATTTCGCGTCTTTAAGAGTATGCAGTGGAAAAATTCGTCTCCTAACCCCATGACATCATTTTCTTTTGCAATAAATGCTTTGGCGGGGCCTTACATACCTAGTCGTTTTTGGCTTAGACTTGCTCCATCATTCTCGTTTGCAATAAATTCTTTGGCGGGGTGGCTGACTCGGGAACAAACGCCTCAGTCGGTGTTGGCTTCGACTCGCTCAACTTGATCTTTTGGAGGGATTTGCTGATTGACATACTGTAGCATGCTTCACTTGTGTAAATCGTCCATCTTATGCGTTTTGGGTCACTAGCAAGGTGGTGTTTTGGCCGCCCAAGCGGTACTTCTCAGTAAGAGCAGATTCCGAACAAAATCTGTCCGGCTTGCATATTTTTATTTCATTTTAGTGAAGTAATCAACGGCGCCAATTTCAGAAGAATTCTAGCAAGAGGAAAGAAAGGTCGTGATGGGGGTATGCATCCGTACAAGAAAGAAAGAAATAAAAAAACAGGACGTGTTCTTTTTTCATTTCATTCTTCAGATGAGTAATCGTTCAATTTGGCTCTTGACGGTTTCGATTTGTTTTTGAAGTTCTTTGGCTTCATTAGTGGTGACTGAACACGCGATGACCGATCGAGTGACTCCACAAGCTCGACCTAGCGCAGTTTTTGAAGGAACGAAGACATAGGGTACGTTCTGTTGGAAAAATGTGGTTTATTAGTTTAGGGCGAATCCAGTGGTTCGATTCTTGGGCGACATAATGATGTGGGCGAGAAATAAAGAACGAACTTTGTCTTCGCAGAGTAATGGCAAATGTAGCAAGATCTCGATAGGTTCGGTATCGGCAGTCAAGACGATAAATTCACAAATCCCACGGTTGAGGGTCTTTGTAGCCTCGTTGGCTCCTTTCCTGAGTTGCTTGTAATGTGACGCCTGTGGATTGTGTATACATTCGTCGGGTAATTAGCTTGTTTCAATTATGAAGAGGGAATAGTTATTTCTTAACTTGTTGAACTAGATCCAAGATTTGATTGGTCAAATTAGCGTCGGCCAGAGGGAATGCTTTGCTGTTGGTGGCAGTCGACATGCTCTTAGATTCTTGAGTGTTGATTTGTTTGAGATGAGTTGAGCTCGCTACTATGGGTCCTTGCTCTGGATTTGGTAAGTGGCGTTGTGGTTGGGTTTCATGGGCTGGCAGGGACAGGAGAAGTTCTTCATGGAAAAGTTTTTATGTGATATCTTCGAAATTGGATATTCAATTTGAGATTTGAATATTCAAAATACACAATGCTCGTGGACATGTCTGTGCTGCGGCTCCGGCATCCCGCGAACGCCCTCATGACATCTTCAATTCACCCCACGGGTGACACCAGCCACACACGAACTACAACTCAAAACATCCCACCTAGAAGAGAATCCTGGTTGGTATACACTATACCATCGTACGTCCCCGGCCAGGTCTTCGATCGAATTATGAGGCGATAATCCTGAACAGTCAAGTCAATCAATACGTGGCCTTTTTCCAAGCTTTCGGATCGCGTTTCGGAACTTGATTTGTGAATCAATCTTTAAACGGGAAACATGGTCAGCACCAACAAATACTAGTGCTTTCGATGCATAAGCTTGCTTAGACGCGTCTTCTTCTTTCACATCGTCCATAGAGCTCAAAAATAGCAGAGTACCTCGTGGGTTCAATCTCTCCGTGTCGCTCTTGCTTTTCTTCATTTTTTTGACCATATAAGAGGCGCTCAAACCTCAATTCACATTTCACAGGATAAACGTGTACTAGTCATCACTCAGGATGGAAGGACTATCACGGTGAGTTAATGAATTTCAAGCTTGGGTTAGGTTAGGCACTTCATGTTCAGAATTCCTTGTCATCGGGATTCCAGAAAGTTGCGACAGTCTTTTTCGATCAAGGGCTCTTTTAGTGATTTTTACTCTCTTCTGGTCATGTGATATCCGAGATAGGGTGAATTGAAAGGCTTCGATCAAACGACAAATATCATCTTATCAGATTCAGTGGAGCGGGTTTATTCATCTGACGAGCCCATGGAAGAAGTGCCCTTAGGTCTGTACATTGTTAGGGGCGATCACATGTACGCTCCCTATCTCCAAGCACTCAACTGCTCAAAAATAAATGTATCGTTCAACTCAATCTGCATCACTTTTCTCTTAGCTCGGTGATCGGCGAACTGGATGTAGAAGCGGACGCAAAAATCGATTGGTCTTCAATACGTGCTGAACCTCTAGATGAAATACGACATTAGTCAATATCTTAAATTGTTTATTCTTCAATCTACGCCTACTTCTATGTAAAACCATAAAATGAAAGTCGGGTCCCATCCGTTTACAACATTTACCTCAACTTCAAACGTGAACACATTCAAAAAGTTGCATTGATTACTGTTGACTGGAGCTTTGAATCTCGTCAAATTCAGGATTGTAAATTGTTGGAACGAAAAATCCCTCCGAAATGTTCCGGCCGAGGGTTAGTCACTCGTGAATCCAGTGTGTGGTCTCACTTGTTCTTTTATATCTATCTCAGTAATATACTGCACAACATTTCCTGCAAAAAACCTCAACATTGTTATATTCATCCCTAGCAAACTGGGCATGAGATCACTTAATCACAAGTACAGGGATGCCAAGACCAAGCCAAGCCTCTACCAGGCAGAGTTGACTAGTCCAATAATCACGGCTGGGATATCAAAACAATAAACATCAATTGCAATTTCTGTGAGCTACAGACTTGGACCTTGGTGCAGGCTCATGGCTGGAGAAAGTCTACAGGATCAATGAATCAGAAAAGGTTGAAGCAAGGATGAAATATTTGAAGAGTCTAGAGATATGATTGTCTTTTCTTTTGGGCTTGTGCTTGCACACGGATTAGATGCATCGGAGTTTGATACCAGGATAGCTCAGTAGTGATTTCCCTAGTATGGTTGGCTCAGTCAGATGAATAAAGCCTTAGCCCAATTGTCTATTTGTGTTCAACTACAAAAAGCACAGTGTCATCAGAGAGTGTTTCAATAGTGTCAGGTGACAGGTTGAGGCTATTGTGATTTTTTTTAAGTAGAAGGTTTTTGACAGTAGTGACAGATTTTATTTATCTCATTTTTGAGGTTGGACCTCCACCACCAGTTGCATCTGGTGATTACAAATTTACAAAAATTGTACATATTCAAATTTTGATGGAAATGACTTTTAGGTTTTCTTGCCAGTCTTTGTGCTCCTGTCTAGTACAAACTACTTGACAGATTCAAGAATGGTCCATTGCTGAACTTTCTTTCATGCTCTTCCTTGCTTTTTCACTGCATAGAAATCTCACCCCGCTGACAATCCAGGATAGTGATGCCCCAACACAGCTTGGGTTGCAGTTTACAATTTATTGTTAAACGTCTTTCTGCAGTCACTTCTCATTCAATGAACACAGTGACTGCATTGAAGTGAGGCTGAAGCCCCACTGCACAGAAGTTTTTAACATTGCCTCCCAAAGGCCTTTCCCCACATAGCACAGGTCACCAAGCTGTAGGACTGGAATCCAAAGAAGCAGGAAGAAATACATGTGAGCTGTTTTTTCAGATCAGTTAATGAAACATCAAGTTAAATTTGGAACTCTTGATCAACACTAAAGAAGTACAATCAGTCAGATTCAACATGTAGAAAGTGGCACTCTGATCCTTGAAAAAACGTGGTACATAGGTTGGTGTAAAGAAAACCAAAAATTCACAAGGTTTGACCACACTAATCTATGCATTAATTATTTTATTGAACAAAATGATCAGCCAAAGTCAATGTGCAAAGTTTTTGCAGATTACATGTTCCATCCAAGCAGAAGTATAAAACAACAACTGGAAATGTATAGTCACTATATGTAGCACTGCTGCTGAAAGACAAATTAAATGTTGCATGACTAAACAACATGAAAAAACTTGAAAGGAAGAGGTATTTCTGGTTTACAAAAAACAAATCCATTCAGAAAGAAAATATTGTCACCAGACTGCTTTGCAAATTAGTGAACATTAAGAATTTTTTGAATTCACCCCCCAATTGCACTTTTGAGTTTCAAATGAATACCTTCAAAGTGCTTATGATATCAGCATGTAAGATAGGTTTATAAGGTTGTTGGGAAATATCTTCCTATATTTAATGTGTCTGTATGTAGACTGGATTTTGAACCAGACATTATCTGATTCTGAGTCTGAGTACGGCCCAGTAGGACGGTTCACGTCTGAACTTTGGAGCAAGTTTTATAGCATTTATCATTAAAATTTTCCAAGTTTGTCCAAATTCTCAAAATCCTCCAAACCTGATGATTCATGAGATTTGACAAAATTCATAAAATATTATCCATAAAAGTGCTAAAAGTTGCCTTGAACTTCAGATGGGAACCGGCCTAGTGAATTGAACAGTGTTCTCCATTCTTATGTATCCAATATGAATACTTATGCCCTTGTCATTAGAACCAGAGATTATTCACTTATACAAACTCCTTAGTCACTTACACTACACAAACCCAGTCAGGCTTCTCTTCATTGCAAATTTTTATCTAGATATTGAATGGATTAAGTGACTGCAATGGAAAGAATAGCGTTTCTTCAGCAATATTGCTTGTTGTGAATGAATAGACTAAAAGTTTGTATTTCATAAGTCTCAGCAAAGAAATACAAAGTAGAGAGAAACAAATATAGAAGAAAAGAAAGAAGAAAAATAGTCACCTAAAAGCAGTAGATGGCTAAGTGAATAGAACAACAATATGACTTGAGATGGCAAATGAAAGAAGATAGAGAAAGCTAACAAAAGAATGTGGATCAATATCAAGGCATTAGTGAAAGAGAGAACAACGAATACCTACGATGATTTGATGGCGGCAGAAGAGAGGAAGTAGTCGGCGGAGTTGTCAAAAGGAAGGGATCGATTTGATACAGAGATCAAAGAGTGCGAAGTGCGAGAGCAGAAGGAAGTCGTTTGATAGAGGGATCAAAGCGGTGACTGATGAAGAGAGGGAAGATATGATGTTCGATGAATTGGAGAGTGAGGATTTATGACACGATAAAGTGAGGAGTTTGACCGTGGAGGAAAGTATAAGAATGGAGTCCTGAGAGGGAAAGAAGAATCTCGGAAGAGAAGGAAGAGAATGATAAGGAAGTAAGAGAAGCGCTGTGACAATGTCGAAGATGATTGAGAGGGTCTAAGCGCTATGATGTCATTGCAAGAGCTTTGACCAATCTCAGAGTTCGGACCGTAATGATGTCATGGATGTTTCGATCTTGGGTACCAGAATGATCAAGCGGAGCTTAGATCTCAACACTTGTTAGAATCTCATTCTGGTTTTAGTTTTTGAGGTGATGAATTGAGTACCCTTGAGCACTGTGCAGTAGCTGAATTTCAGCAGATTTGGCTAATGATATATTATGAAGCATAAGATACTGAGAGTAGAGATCAACAAAAGATAGTGCCACCAGCAATGACATTCATCATGTTCATTCTTTGAATCTCTCAATCATTCCACAACACTGATTTTAGGACTCTGTGGAATTCTTCTTGGAAATTTCTATCCTGGGCCATACAGAACATTTGGCAAGGGTATTTGAGATGGACAATCAGACGAGGGACACTTGACCAAGCTTTCTTGAGTTTTCTCATGGTGTGCACATATGAGGTTTTGTTGAAGCCCCTTTGGAAAGGTATGTGCGTTATGTAGCCACCTGACGGGTTGCGAGGTCTGTCTGCCAGGGGCTTGATGAACTTCAAGTGTGCTCACTTCCCAATCCTTTGGCTTTTCCGAATGCTTCTCCAACACCTCCATACCACTTCCTGGCCTATCAAAACATCTCCAACAATACGCGATAACTCGCTCGTATTTGAGAGGTAATAGTTCTCTGATGATCTATTGGCGGGGCTTATATCCCCAAGTTTCTTCATCGAAAACTGAAATCAAATTCTGGATCAAGGAAATGCTTCATGATGGATGTTGAGACTGAGAGAGGTACATTGAGAATGGAACGAAAACACTTCAAATGATCAAGTTGGTGTGCATGTACTCAAAGCATTTGAACGTGCTCCTCCACTGGATGAACTGCGTATGTAGATCGGACAGACTGGTTACCTGGGTACCAGCCCCTACAATGATCGTTTGACATTGACTGAGACTTCAAAAGCGAAGCAACACCACATAACCACCTTACCTTGTTATATCAAGTTCGCCATCGAAGCAAAAAAGCAAGCGATCAGCCGGAATTCAGGTCTGATCCTACTCCACTATCAAAGATGAGCTGGCCATCATTAACCCGCGCCAAGCCGACGCGAAAGCATGGGAAGATTACTCATTTGATACCAGAAACATTTTTTTGTTTTGAGAAAACAACAACATGCGTTTTGGAAATATAAGGATACTCACTCGCACATCGATAAAGTGTTGAGAGCGAGTGGCTGTAAAAGCTTTCTGGTGTTTGTGAGCCACCAGATGTCTCCTGGTTTCGGAAGAGGCGGTAGTTGAGTGATAAGACCTGAAGTAAATGCCTCAGACGAGGAAGAATGAATACTCCACTAGGTGTTCTGAATTGTTGGCTGAATGTCAAGATTAACATTGGCACCTTCCTTGGATAGAACATGCTTCAAATATATAGGCCCATAATGAGCAAATTATGACCTGTAAGCTGTAGGACTTCCAATTAATCCACACTTCTGACTCTCTGTTGGCCGCGGCTGAATCAACAAAGGTAGCATTTGTTGAATGAGTGTTAACTCTGCACAGAAAACGATATTTATGGGGAGGAAAAGAATCAACTACCTAATTGATGTTAGCGGGCCTTAGCCTATGTTTCCACTGTGGAAACATCTTTCGATCAGGATTTGATGGGTTAATTTTGAAGCAATGAATTGATATCTCAGCAAGAGAAAAGCAAAACAGACACCGGAAAATGGTCGATCTCGCATCAGAACTACAATAAGAAACCGTATTGCCCATTTGTTGGACGGAAAGTGCTAATTATGATCTCTTTGTTATCTTTCTTTTGTCACAAGGGCAATACTTATAGATGGATACATGGTACGGAATTAAATAGAAGAAAAAAGTTGTTCTGCTACTTAGTCGGTGCCACATAGGGGAAATGTGTGTACCTCAACGTAGAATAGACCTTTTGGAATCAATTCTTGGCACACAAAAGTTACACAGTGTTCTACTTTAGATCAGGGAGCACAGATCCCAACGGTCTCCTGCTGAGATGGATGAATACAAGATGTCAAGACATGAGGCAAACGTTTTCCTTCACGCACCAGACCTACGTAGCACAAGGAATCACGTTTTGCCTTGTGTACAAAAATTTACGTCTTCACTCCCAACGGCTCAGTGAGCCCAAATAATCTTTGAGTGTGTGTTCAAGGGATTAAAAAGTTTAGAAGGTGCTCAGTGTTTTATTCAATTCAAATCATACTCATCCTAAGATACATACTGTACTGAATGAGTCTTGGAACACCATGCATGATTGTTTAATGTCCTACTTGGCAATGAAAGTCAAAGGCCTCAACTCTCAACCGCCGCCAGCAGTCATGGGGTGATCGCAAGTCCAATCAATAGATTCGACAAAGGGTCGGACAAAGGATTAGAATTGAATGAATATGCGAATCCGAGGGAACTTGATAAAATCACGCAGTATTGTGCACAAAGGACTGTTGGAGTGTTTGGACGTTATTGAATTGTTACCGAAATCAACACTCCCTTTCTTCTGAGATGGCCAGGATGCCTTTGTCCAGAAGAGTCGAGCTGGTGCTGCCAGCTTCAGGGCTCAGCGGCTTTTGAAGACATAAAAGACCGCCCCTCTGGCTACTTGTCTTCCAATATTTCCTTCCACAACAGCACCCAAATCCAAACCGCTCCCTTTCCCTCCACTCCCCTCTTCCACCCTACATCCTCACCCTTTCGCGCACTCCATCCTAGACTCCAACCATGGCTGGACCACCTCCGCGAGCTAAGCATGCTCCTCCAGTCTCATCTCCACTTGTTACCCCCAGCCGCCGACGCAACCGTCGTGTCAAGTTTGGAGCACGCCAATGCCGCCCAAAGACTTCAACTAAAGTCCGACTGGCTTACGCTCCCTCCTTCCCTATCATCACTGCTAGTGCATCCCACTCTTACCGACTGATTGCCAGGGGACCTCTATCCCCCATCATCCGTCTCAACCCTACCCAAAAGTCTCTCAGGGAGGACGTCTTGAACCGAGTTTACCCTGTAGCCATCCCACGCCCTACTCCTACTCCTACTCCTACTCCTCTCCGCCCTACTCCTCTCAAGCGCCGCCGAGCAGATGATGATGACCAGGGACCACCCAAGAAGCGCAGGAAGTAAATTATAGTAAGTTGTATCTCTCTCGATTCTTCAATGAAATTTCTAGCCCTAGTTTATCTCTCTCTAATGTGAATCACTTTCTTTCATTCAAATAGAAATCTGTGCTCCAAATTTCCGTTTCATTATATCTTTCTTCAATTTCAGTTCTTCTATCATAGCACGGGTAAGAAATCTCACTCTATGACCTCAATTTCTCCATCATCATGGTTTTATATATGTTTGTCTGATACACAAGAATCATCTCATTCTATGCAGCTTCTTACTCCATATACCACCATATACGCCTCATCGATCATGCTCAAAATCTGTCGATTTTATTAGTTCTATCTCGGGTAAGCAATTCAATTGATAGAGCAATTGGTAAGGCGAACAACTAACTAACAAAATTTAAAAATCTTCTAGAAGTACATACCTTCGCTTAGAGCAAACCCGATATCAACTGATCATGCCTCGCTCACACCTTACGGTTCGCTGCAATCATGGACCTCAATAAGTACTCTCAGTCGAAAAATATTGTAAGTTGTTTCTTATTGTTGGCACATCATCTTCAATGTCATTCAATGACTGATCAGTTCCCAACCTTTGTTTACTTACTTACTCAGCCCTGATCATACCGCACTCATCTCCTTGATTGGTTTCTATCCAATGTGTTCCATAAATCTTTGTTTTGCCTGTATCATTGGAAATAAATTAATATATTATAATGAAACTTCATTCTAATTGTTCCATCTTCACATGCCACCCTATCCATAACAATACCATTGGCATGGAAAGTTGAGATCAAACGCTTTGTGAGCTTGAGTTGTATGATAACTACTCTTCTGTTAATTTTGTTCACTCGAAGCTAAAGTTGTAGTTGGGTATTGTCACTGGGATTGTGTTGTGTATTGTAGAAAATTGGGGATTTAACTTCTGGTATGAAGTAAAACACCACATGAATTCAAGACACTGAGAAGTGATTTTCTGCCTTGTCAAAAGAAAGGGCTATCCAAAAGGAAAAAGGTTCCAAGTGGATTTATTGGCTAATTCAATTCAATCCAATTTGAATTCTGTATCATGTGGCTGGGGATATTAAGCACTGAGATATATTTTTGGTGGCACTTGGAAAGAACAGGAGGATCAACTTTCAAATGGATGAGACAAGTGACACTTTTTGTGGGGGATTTGGAAGGAATTGTGTGTGGAAGCAAAGATGGGGGGAGTTTGCACAATGCTGAGATTCCAAGAGTAGAGAAAAAGGATAGAAGTGTTGGCTTATGAATTTCTTGCTTGAATGTTTATGGTGATTGTTTTTGACCAAAAGCCATGTGGTTGTTTGGGAGCTCAAATTTAACATTGAATTCATTGAAAGAAACTTTGACAGGGAACACAACTCAAAAATGATATTTTAACTCTCTACTATCCAGTCTTATTTTAATTCTTCTTAACACGATGTTTTTGGAAATACATTAGGATAAAAATTTGTTTTGTATTCTGGGAGGAATGTGAAGTAGAAAAACACAGATTGTAAAGAAACTGAAATTTATCTTTTTTGGCTGTGAATGTTTGATTGTATCAGAAAAGAAGGGATTGGGAATCACTCAGGCCAATGCAATGCATCAAATCACTTCTGTATCCCACTGCCCAGAACAACTGTTTGCATGGACCTGGTAAGAATTAATCAAATAAATATCTCACTCAGTTTTGAAACTTGAATATCAGGCTAAATTTAGCCCAAGTGAAGAAACATGTATTAGGTCAGGTGCTACAGCCTACAGGGGCCTAATGGGTAATGGGGTGTTATTTTGGTTGATACAATGCATATAGTTCCTCGCACGTTGTAATGATGAGATGTGTTCTTTTTTTTTATTCAAGCCATAGGAAATTTACATGTACAAACAGGAAATTAGTTGAAATGAGAAAAAGTAGCCATGTTTTAACATTTGCAGGATCTATGGACAAGCCGCAGACCTGATGGTTTACAAAAGAAGAAATTTTAAATTGGATTCAAAAAGATGATAAAAAAAGTACGTGGCACAAGCTCAAGCAGGACGGGTGCCTTCATAAAGACTTGGGGCGGGAGGAGATCTTTGGGAGCTGAAGCTAGAGAACTTTGTGCGACCGCCCGGGCTTTCGAAGCCGACACGGTGTTCGCTGACTTGCCCGAAGCTGGGCCAGCGGTTCTGACGAGAAGTCGGGAGCCCATTGGGCGTCTTTTCTTCACAGAATAACGCCGGCGATTTGCAGGCTTCGTCTGTGTCTTGGCCTTCGTTCAGAAGCCAGTATTTGTGCCATTTGAGTGTCAGATAGATTATCACTGCAAATATCGAACCAATCGTTGGCCCTGCCCTGTTATCACCCACAAAATACAATCAGTTCATCAGTCTCTGAGTCCCCCGATTACATTTTCAGTTTTTTCCCGGATTCTTACCAATAAACCCAATGATCACTTTCAAATCCTGTAAACACAGCGGGTCCAAATGCCCTGGCCGTGTTCATGGATGCTCCAGTAAATACAACCGCCTGCACCACGTGAATTCACACATGAATAAACCAGTTGGTGATGATTAGAGATGAAGCCGCGAGATGGATGATAATGGAACACTCACAAATAAATGACCGGCAAGCAAGGTCAGGCCGATCCCAACAGGAGCCAAAAACGTCGATTTGTGTTTTTCGACGGCTAAGAATAACACGCACAATACTAAGGCGCAAGTAACTAAGGCTTCAATGAATACACCTTGGGCCTTGGTCGCGCCGGCTCCTAGGGCGGGGGTGATGGTCAGTGGACCAGGTACTAAGGCCTTAAGTAACCCACTCGCAACTTCAATTGAGCATTCGGAACAAATAAAAGAAAGTTAAATTTTCACTCTGTGTGTATAAGTTGTGGCGATAGACGGATTGTGAGAGCCTTTCTTACCGATGGAACCTGCAAATTGAGCGATTACATAGAGAACAAATCTGACAGGCTTGATAGCGCCAATGAGAAGCAATGCAAACGATACATTCCTAAACAATAATTCCATCCCATCAGCTTCATCCCCATCAGATTCAAAGAATTGCCAAGATGTGCTACTCAAACGGGTTGAATGCAGCACCAGTTGCTCGATAGAAGATCCACGCAGAAAATACCAGGCTCAAACCCATCGAAAGCGAGATGTAACTTAATTGCTAGATGATTTTTTTTTTGATTGAATTTCAGCGGTAGAAGTGAACCGTAAATCTTAGTTTTCTTGTATCGAAAAGAGATATTGAATTGTAATGATTTGAAAAAAAAGTTCACCTCGATACTTGGTACGGCGGTGGTCGAACTCCCAGCTTCGTTAACATTTGAAGATGAACGTTTGGTGAAAGCGGCGTTTGAGGTGGCGGCTGCCTATGGGCAGAAGATGGAAGGAGGGTATGATAGTCAGTCAATGAGTCCGTTGTGATCAGAAGTGTTGGCTTGTTCATTGGTGCGAAGCTAAAGAAGCATAAACAGACTTGAATACCACCAAGACCGATAAGTAAGAAGGTAAGGGTCCCTAGAAACTCTCCGACGGCAGCTATCAAGTCTTTCCTTTGGAGGCCAAGTGGTAAAGCGGGTAATGATCCATTAGCCTTAGAAGCTACGATGATCCAGCAGTCGGGAGTAAAGAGACTCACTTGATATCTGCGCGAATGTCTTCCAAGCTGTATTTATAATGGTCTCGGTTGATCTGTGTTCTGATTGAAGACATCTTTCTTGATTCTTGCAAGCAAGCGTGGTGAAGAATCTAGCTCGGATCGAGTGAGAGGGGGCAGGAGGATGATATGGCGAACAAACGTCTTATAACGACGGGCTGTTTATCGTTTTAATCCCATTAAACCTTTTAAAGCATTGGACAAACATATAGCAGTGACCTGGCCGGTCTGTATTTGGAAACTATAGACTATGTGCAACTCTAGACGTGAGTGAGTCTGATTGATTATTTCTGCTGCTTGTTCTATTCTCTTGCAATCCTTCGTGAGACTTGCAGGTCTTTGGAAGCCTAAAGTTTGAACAGACAGAGACGGATGTAGCTGGACTTTCTGGATGCGGTCTGATGCGGTTATATGCTAAGATGTGATAGATGTCGCGAGACAAGTTCTTACCTTCTCCGGAGAGGATGACATGTTTGGGTCAAGTTTGAAGGCAGGGAGGTGTGTGGTGATTATGTGCCTTCCAAGTCAACCCCCGTGACCGCTGGCATGCTGCATCACTCTAATAAAACTCCTGGTACGGCCGGGATAGGAATGCACTCCTATTCCTCGCTCAAGGACATCTGTTATCCTCTAGCCATTAATGGCACTGCGACGGGTGTTTTGTTGAGAGTGCTTGCCTGAAGCATACAAGAGGGAAGCCCAGGCCTCACTGCCGACTCCGGATGGAACAGGTGGACTGATTGCGACCAATCTCCCGATTGCCACGGGATACTAGTATCCCGATCCTTATGCAGTCCCAAGGGCCAACAGCGAATACTCAAGGCTACAACCAGTCGCATTTGACGTGGCAAAAAAGATAAGCAAGGGGAAACAGGACCCGGCGGTCCAACTCACTTCAACATCAAAATGAAGCAGTCCCCCGTTAAGTTTCAGGCCGTACCGGTGCCCTTCCGTCGGCTACGCGTTCCTGACGGACGGCCGCCGCTTCATGCCGACGGGGCCATACTGCAGTCTGGCTGTCACATGAGGGTTATCACAGGAGGCGAGAGTTGAAACTGTGAAAGGGGGATGCTTTTTTCATCCAGCTCATGATTGGTGGGCAGAAAGTGAGGAGAAAACCGAAAACTCTCATTCGTCCCCGATCTCCGCCGCACTTGGCCGTTTTGGACGTCGAGCACTCTCGGGGAATCGACCGGGTGCCTGATGAAGAACACTGACTCAACCAACCAGGGTCGACACCACACTCCAACTCAACCTCCCCAAGAAGAACTCAGAAAAGGGAAACAACAACGAAACAAAGCACCACTCTAGATAGACAGAATCGATCACAATCGAGATGGCATTCCCCTCCAATCGATTCGTATTCGCTAACCTGATCAAGAACTCATCCAACAATAACACTCGACATCAATTCACTCAAAACTTGAAAGCGAACCTCAACAGAAGAACTTTCAATCGTAGTGCCTCAACTACCACTCAAAATGAAGTCAGTCAATACATTCAAGCCCTCACTTTTTTCTTCTTCTTTTTTCACATGATCTCCACTGTCTGGGCTTCGTCGACTTGGAAAATGAAATTAGATGGGGGTCTCACACAATCGATCATCAACTCCTCTGTCTCCATCGATCAACTATCGCCATCTCAGAGAACCAATGCGAAAAACTGCCTATCCTCGTTTTGTCAGCCCATTTGTCAAACAAGAGCTAACCTCTTTGTCTTCATCCGTTTTGATCACAGTCCATTCTCACTTCTCGAACAGCCGCTGTCGTTTCATCCATTCTAGCCGCAGGCTCTGTTACTTGGTACACTCAACTATATGGAATCCCATTTTTATCTGAAGCCAAGGTCAGTTCATCATCTTTCCAAATCGGTACTCTCCCTGCCCCCGGTGATCGACGTTCAAATTGGCTATTTAAGATCTGTGATGCTTGCAAATACAGATCAACTGATGATTCCCGGTGATTGTTTTCTGCAGGCTATGACTGCTGCCGAGCACGGCTTGCATCCACCTTCGTACGCATGGCCACACAAGGGTCCATTTGAAACTTTTGATCATGCTGCGTCAGTCCAGATTATCCTCTTCTCCTCTCTTCCGTGTCACAAGTCACACCTGCGTCAACACTTTGTAAGTTGAACTTCTGCTGATTGATTTTCCCCTTTTTGTTACTTTTATCGTAAATTTACCGCACAAAAGTATCCGACGTGGCTACCAAGTCTACCGCGAAGTGTGCTCGGCTTGTCACTCTCTCGACCGAATCGCATGGAGAAATTTGGTCGGTGTGTCACATACAGTTGATGAAGTCAAAGGTCAGTCATACTTCCACCCGATTTCATATCGAAATTCTAATGTCTAGGATCAAGAACGCTATAAATGAAGATGTTGCGATATTGATTATGCATCTTCACGTCATCAATAGCGATGGCAACGGAAGTGGAATATGAGGATGGACCAGATGACGAAGGTAACAAGTTCATGAGACCCGGTAAATTGGCCGATTACATGCCACGACCATACCCGAACGATGAAGCTGCTCGATCAGCCAACGCTGGTGCTCTACCCCCCGATTTGAGCTTGATTGTCAAGGCCCGCCACGGAGCAGCGGATTATGTGATGGCTCTTTTGACCGGATATGTTGATCCACCGGCTGGGGTCGAAATCAGAGACGGGTTGAACTACAAGTCAGTTGTCAAAAGGTAAACTTTTGTAAACCAAACTGAACCAGCTAACTTTTGTTATTATTCTGTCAGTCCTTACTTCCCAGGAGGTGCAATTGGGATGGCCCGGGTCTTGTATGATGGAGTAGTTGACTATCCAGATGGGACGCCGGCGACGACCAGCCAAATGGCCAAGGACGTGGTGACCTTCTTGAACTGGGCGGCTGAGCCCGAGCTCGATCAACGAAAGAAGATGGGATTCCAAACGGTGATCGTGTTGACTACTTTGACAGCCCTTAGTATCTGGGTCAAGAGACTCAAATGGGCTGGGATCAAGAGTCGAAAGATTGTCTACAACCCCCCGCCTTCAACTTCTTCTAAGCATTAGAACATCTACACAAAAACTTGTTTCTTTCATATCTTTTCGTCCTCCTATTTCTACCCCACTTTTTAAAGGTTGTCTATCCTTTTTTACCTTCAAATTCATGTGACAAACAAGCTATTGTTCTCTTTCATCATCTTATGATTAATTCGTATATGTTTTACATATATAGAGAGTAAACTAACTTAAAACATAAAGGAGGTTATATGTTTTTTTTCTTCCTTTTAGTTTTGGAATGAGTGAAGCATGAAATCAGCAATGATTGACTTTAACTTCAAGTTCTTAGACCTGTGTGTTTATATTTTAGTCATATGAAGATGCCAGCTCACAGTTCATCCCAAACAATAGCCTTGAAAGAATGAGTTGGGTGCATGCATGATCATCAGCAATATCCAAGCTTACATGAGCTTGCATGATCAGTCACAATGCGGTCTCCCAAGCCAAATGAGTTTTATTCTACTTTATTTTTGTAAAACCTAGCTCATTTCTCCACAAAGATGAGATTATTTGGAATCAGAGGGCAAAGATGAGCAGCAGCTTAATGTATGGTTTCACAATCAAGTTTGAATGATCAGAAGCTGAACATGGTGCTTGTGAAATCTCTCACAAAGTTTACATACCTTGGCAAAAGTCAAACTTGTACAGCGGTTGTGGTTGAAAGTGTGGGCAATGGGCAAATTAAAACAAAGAAACAAATGGTGTGTCAGTAGTAGAATTTCCAATGAGGTTAGCTAGGGCATCAGTCCCTGTACAGAAGCCATTATCTGAGTTTCTTTCTGCCCATGAATATTGTAGTGAGTTTAAGCTGTAATGAAAACTGGCAGCTGTAGATTCAAAGACTCATTAGGGTGTTGTTTACACCACGGTCATTTGGGTGTCGCCCGGATGTAACCGTCACCTTGACGAATCCGCGTGCGTGACTGCGGCAGTAGGCGCAGTCACTGCGCACGAAACCCCCAATGAAACCCCCAGATGTCGCTCCGCGCGGGAGCGAGATGCAATTGTCCGTGGTGTTACGTAACGGACGCATGGCCCAGTGGTAAGGCGCTCGCCTTCGATGCAGGATGAGCAGCTTTCCTTGAGAGCGAGAGATCGTCGGTTCGACCCCGGCTGCGTTCATTTTTTCCCACGCTGCACCCCACCCGCAGCCTCTTCGCCGCAGTCCGCACAAGAACCCCTGGCGCGTTGTCGCCCCGTTAACGGAGGGACGCGTCCCACATCCGACTTACAATCACAATCAACCAAACACCGATTAGTTCAAGGACAGATCGAAATTTTGAAAAACTACTCAAATACTACAGGCCAATCGGAATACTATCATGGACAAAGGAAAGGGGAAAGAAATCGGAAAACAGCCCGAGATTGCTGCGAACGGTGCATCCAAACCTGCTTCAAAGGAACACCTCCCATGGTAAAGCCAGTGTGATCTCATCGACTCTTGACTTCCATCATCTGCTAACTTTCGTCTCATCCCCGATCGACTGAATGTACATATAGGGTAGAAAAGTACCGACCAAGCACGTTGGACGATGTGGTGTCTCACCAAGATATCATCCAGACTAGTCCGTAATATATCCTCTCGGCCTTCGCATACTTATTGAAATTAGTTTTTGAAGGACTTACAAGATCTCGTGTTGTTTCAAAATTCGAAAATTTGATTCGGAGGAAAGTTCAAAAATTCATTTCCGCCAATCAACTTCCTCACCTCTTGTTCTATGGGCCCCCTGGGACCGGGAAAACGTCCACGATCTTGGCCGTCGCCCGGCAACTATTCCAGACTCCAATGAGTTTCAAAAATAACATCCTTGAAGTGAGCTTCAACATCTCATATATCGACATGTCGTATACGCTCAATGTGGCTCACAACCGCCGCCATACGACACAATATGTTTACACTTGTTCAGTTAAACGCCAGTGATGATCGTGGAATCGATGTTGTAAGGGAACAGATCAAGAACTTCGCAAGTGCCCGAATGGTGTTCAGGTTTGTTTTACTGTTTGATCTTCTGGAGGTACTGGATCAGATATAGACAAACAAGAGAGCTCTGCTAATCCAAAAACCTTTTTTCCCCTTGATCAATCACAATTTCTTAGTTCGGGATTCAAATTGATCATCCTTGACGAAGCAGACCAAATGACACAAGCGGCTCAATCCGCGCTCCGCAGAGGTAAATTACACTTCCTACCTCCTCTGATCAATTAGTCAACGACTCCAATATTTTTTTTTCAAAAAAACAAAAAAATGAATGTTCTTATGTTTCTGTTTCCAGTGATCGAACAATACACTAAGAATGTCAGATTCTGTATTATCTGTAATTACGTCAACCGGATCAATCCCGCCATTCAATCCAGATGTACCAGGTTCAGATTCGGACCCCTCGATCATCCCGAGATCGAGCGCAGGATTGCTCATGTAGCTGATGCGGAGAGGTGAGATCAAGACCGGCGGAAATCAACCATGGCCAAATATTTTCGAAGGGAAGAATTTGACCGAGAGCTCATTGGTTTTGATGTTGATACAGCGTCAAGATCTCAGACGATGGACGCAAGGCTTTACTGAATCTCTGCAAGGGCGATATGCGTCGTGTCCTCAACGTCATGCAGGTTCGTAGCCATTTTTCTTTTCTTGATGAGTCAGTGTCAGCTGATGTGGGTCGATCGAGAAGGCTTGTCATTCGGGATATGGGAAAGTTGACGAGGATGCAGTCTATGAATGCACCGGAAGTCCGCATCCCAAACAAATCGAAAAAATTGTCGAAAGCATGATGAACGATGAATTCCAAACCAGTTTTAAACGCAAGTTCTGTTTATATCCCCTCTTTCGATATCACTCCTATTGGTTTCTTGTTTTTTTTTTCAGCTCGTGTGTTTATGTTTATGATTTTCCCCCTTGATGATTGTTTAGGCATACAAGACATCAAGATCAACTATGGGCTAGCTCTTCAAGATATAATCTCGGGTATATACGACTATTTACGGACGATAGTCTTTGAGAAAAACGCCCAAATTTATATCCTTGATCAACTGTCGCAAATCGAGTTGAGTTGGATTCAATTCTCGTCAGATCAAACTGAAGAATGATCTTGGCGGCTAATAATCACTCATCATCTCTTCACATTTTTTTGTTAGACATCGATTGTCCACGGGAGCGACTGAAAAGATCCAGCTGTCGAGCTTATTGGGGAGCTTCAGGATAGCAGTGGAAATCACTTCCAGATCTCAAACCGCTTGACATGTAAAAATGTGTGGAGCGCTCCATGTGTGCTTCATGCATCTAATCAATCTTTGAAATCCAACATGTAATTAAAAGGTCTTTTTAACTTTGCTGGTTTATGAACTAGAGTTACTTGAAGGTGTCCAAGTAGGGATGTCATGGGCAAAGTCACTTGAGAAACTAGCATGTTGTAAAATAAGTCTGACTAATCATTCGGCTATTATAGTTGGAGTTTTCTTATGCTGTTTCCCAACAACATAACTTTATCACACTTTGTTTTTTCTCAATAGCCTCTTTATGGTTCAGAATAACAAAAGATTAGTATGTTGTTGAAGGGCTGTATCCGTCAGGCTGCATGAATGAAGTTTGAATTGGTAGAGTCATCCTAATCCCTGAATAGTTGGTCATTTGACTCCTACTAGCAGAGTATTTGATTGTTAAAGGGTGCTGAGAGAAGATTGAAATGGTCCAGAGAAGAACAGCACTCACATCTTGGAGCCTGCAAGTTTGCATTCTTGGTGGTCTCAACATAATGTATGTACAACAACCACCATCAATTCAGCAAGTTGTTCTTGCAGTTCATCAGTTGTGGTTGTGGATGGCCAAATCATTTCCATCTATCTGTATTAAATTGTATAGCCCCTTCATCTGCAATTTAAAACACAATTGTGAAACACTTCGTAGCTATTCAAAGTATACACTGGCAATGAGTTCACAATATTTCAAATCATTAAATGGACCTTGAAATCCTGATATTATAATGGTAAATTAGCTGAGGAATCACTTTCTTACCAGAATTTCCACAGATGAGATCCACTCAACTTTATCTACGAGTGGCCCTCAGGCATTGTTTTTTCGGGGGATATGTTTCAGTCATTTTAAGTTGATGTAGTCCAACTTCTCCTTGCTTGAAGTTGTGGTTTAGTGAAAACATAGCGCGGTCAGCGATCACACATCTGTGACAGGCTCGAGCTTAACTAAGCCTCTCGTGACGAGAGTCGTGTGCGGGCAGGTCTGGGCGGCAGCAGGCGGCAGCCCAGTCAACAGGGGGACTTGTGTTAAGTTCGTGACAGGCTCTGGTTCACAAGCCGGGTTTACTCAGCGATCCTGCTGTGCTCAAGATAACGCTCGACTTCATCCGTGCCCTTCCCCTACCGACTTCTTCTGCTGTAGCATGCTCGAACTTGAAGGCTGTACCTGAACATGAAATGCTATCTTCCATGCCGACGATCCTCCTGCCACGATATATATGTGTGAGGCCAAATGGAGATGTGGGTTTCGATTGGTATGCAATCTCAATCGGGCTTTATACTTGGTCAATGTCCAAATCAAACGCTTAGCTTCTACACTGTCTCTGATTCTGATATGAATCCTAAGAAGTTGAGGATTAATAACGGGATCTCTTGGTTTACTTCTTTGCTTCTTAGTTTCCCGAAAATCATCCTGGCAAGTGGCTGCAAGATACTTATCAAATAGTATCGCAAGGCAAAAAAGGTTTCTCTTAGGGTATGGGACTCTAGTCGCAGCTTGTTCATATAGTGTGGTTCGCTTCAACAAGTTAATACATGTAAAGCTGATATAAATCTCAAGCAGCATTTGAAGCAGACAAGAAATACAAAATTATAATAAGAAAGAGAGAACGCTAGAAAGAAGAATGAGAGATCAAGATCGATCTGGAGAGATTCTTCATTAGTGCCGAGATCGATCGACTTGATGGAAGTAGAAAAAGAATAAGGGAGGCTTACTATCATTCAGTTGTCCCTTGCTGATGGTCCTCGAGTTCGGTTCTGCTTGCTACCGGCGTAGGGACCAGTTCGGCTCTGTGTCCTCTCTCGCCGTGAGGGGCCGGCTTGGTTGACCAAGGCAGGAGTTGGGAGGGGCTGGGGTGGGTCGCTCCTGCTGGGCATCTCTGGAGGAGTGCCAACCCGTCTGGAAGGAGTGCCGCGTCGGGGTAATTCCACCGATTCGCATTGCCGGATAAGGGTGTAGACGCGTGGGTGGCGGGCTCCGGTGGGGTGAGCCGTTGGCAATGAAAGTGCCATGGCTTGCAAGTCCTTGTGAGCCATCTTCTTCGCGGCTACATCGATAAAAGGGAGCTTAGATTCTTGGGGCCTGCCATTGGCAAGCAGTGGGTTCTGGGGTCGATCAACCGGAGGGGCTGCCGGTTGGGCTGTTTGAACTGGGGCTGGTGTAGGGGCTGGTTGGCGGGGGCGAGCATCGGTTGAGGACCGGTCTCGACGTTGAGATCGAGTGCCTTCCGGTTGGCGAGCCTGTTCAGCGTTGCGGGCACGGGCCAGAGACTTATACATATCTAGAAGAATTGTGAAAGAGACGATTAATTTTTGGTGTCGCGAGAAAGGACGAGTTCGAAAATATGGAATCGACTTACCAAGTAACTTGCGTGGATCCATCGTAGTCGTATGGAAAGCTTGGTTGACTAGTCTTTCAGGAAAACTATCTACTGCAGAACAGGGTGGGAAGGGTTAAAGCGAGAAATGGATAGAAAGAGAAAGGCCGGTCTGAAGTTGTTGTGCTATATGGAAGGAGGCTTTGGGTAAAATGTTGGAGAAGCAAGTGGTGGCTAGCTTACCTGGGAGGGGCTTGGTATGAAGTGGGAAGAGGAAAGTTGGTGCGGATGAAGAAAAGGGGTGCTATGTGCGGGCACTGGGACGGCGATATATACACGAAAGCTATCCGCTAAGCCTACTGCTTCTCATTTCTAGCAGCAGAAGCTACAGCATTGAAGTGCTACTGTAGACTCGAACGGTTCAGTTAGATCAGCAGCTGAACATTCAAGTCGCCGTGGGTGAATTACAGCGGTTGAACACCGGGCACCACGAAACTCGTTGAGCAAGTGGCGTGCTCTTATGTATCAACTTCCTTTGTTCTTATCGAAAGTTGATACATTAGATCACGGCACTTGCTCAACGAGGTTGGTTGTGTGCTGGCGAGCTGCATAAAATTGAGGCAAATTGTTCCACCCCTCAGCAAATTGATACAGAGCGCAATTCTGGCGTATCCCGTTCAGCGTGAATAGAAAATAGAAAGATCGGCTGTATTCAAAGGGAAGCTACAACAGATAGGCTCAGTCTCAATTGATGGCGTGAGTCTCGCCAAGTCTCAACGGTCGCAGCCCGTTCCTTTCAGAAGTAATGAGCCCTGCTGCCCGCCTAATTGAGTCTCAGCAATTGTCATGCCTTTCATCAGCAACAGTGAACAAGGGGGGCAGCTTTGCCGAGTGGTAAGCAGCAAGTAGCAGCTAGGCTCGGCCCCAAATGCCTACAATATAAATAAGACAAAGTCTTACCCTCCATTGCTGCTCCCCACCAACCATTCAAGTGTTTCGGCACACACTACCACGACCACGACCACCTCCTCCCTTCTACTTGACCCCAGACCCAAGGTAAGTCCTAGTAGCTTTCTCTTTCCCATTCGCTACATCCCAAAGCATTCCTTTTTATCTAAAAGACCACATCCTCTTAAATATTCTCACTGCAGAACTAAGAAAAGAAGCCACTCCTGAAATATCTCACAATGGAAGAAACTCTCCGGAATGAAGCGCTTCAAGCGATAGGTGAATAATATCATAGACCATTGATCATATAGGCGCTTTAGTCATACACTAACGGTATCACTTTTCCCATTAATTGCTATGAAGATTTCCTTGAGAGGCACAAGCGCGCCAACACCGACAAGCTATACCGAGAAGCTCTTACTCAAGAGCCGAAGAAGGACCGGTATGTCGACACAAACTCCAAAGTGAAGAGCTTGAAAGAGATGGTTGCGAGAGACCTCGGATTTCAAGGCACTGTCAAGCACCCCAGAGTTTGGCACTTGCAGACCACAGATGTCGGTGCTCCTATGAAAAACCACGGCACTCCTCCCGCTCCGCGCCGGGATACACAAGTTCAAGTCCAACTTCCACGCGCCAACCATTCTGCAATGCTGGCTTTCATTCTCCTATCATATGCATTGCTGTTCTTTCTCCTGTTTTCAGATTGGTTTTGAATTCTTACATGTCTCTTACCAATTCTTGTAAGAACAATAAAACAACAAAAATTTGATGTATGATCCTTCATTTGAAGGAAATTCACTTTTTATTCAATTCAATTGATTTTTTGACATAAATGAAACCTCCATAGCTTGCTCTTATTTGGAGTGAAGAAGCAAATCCTAGAATTTTCCCACACACCGGTGCTGTAGGCATTGGCTAGAAATTGAGGGGTTGTTGAAGATACATTATTAGTGGTGAGGCCCTTGGTCCCTACAGGAGATTCGTTACTACAAGGAGGTATTTGAAAAGAAGACTACAAACATAGAATGGACTCACAAACATCGCCGCAGGCGTGCAATACGCGAGACTAGCTGAAGGTTTTCTTATTGGAGTACACTTGAAGCGCTTGTCCGCTGTTTACTACGATACTTGAAATCAGTACGGGTTGGAGCATCGTCTGCATCAACATCAGTTTGGAAAGAAAGGTCATTGAATGAGAGGAAATGTTGGTTTGGAAGTGTCTTCTGCTGAAGGATCCGCCATGAGTGAATGTGGAGAATGAGAATGGCGAATAGAGAATGACTATGAACTGGGAAAGGGGCCGACAATATTTCTTGCAATTAAGGTCGCTGAATGTACTACCGCTAGTGAAGTTTCTTTCACAAAAATCCTGAAAACTCAATCATCCAGCGATCCCTCTCATGAAAGAGCTCTGGCCTTATTCGTCATAAGAATTATTGCCATGCCTTGAGCTTGCGAGCCTCTGTGGCAGTAGGCGATTTTCGAAAGCGGAGCTCGATCCAGCTCGATTAGGTCAGAGTAGCAGAAGCTAGTCTTGCCGTTATGTGGGGTGGAAGTGTCTAGGATGAAATTGATAACATCCCGGCGCATCTGTATGTGACCGGCCTTGTCGCGTCCAACGCCGGATTCCTTGGGATTAACCTGAAAGCAGCACCTCCTCGCCGGAAGACGGCGCTATGAGTCCCCCGACGGCAATACTGAATATTTGCCACCATGCAGGGTCGTAGAGCCGGGTGACCAAGCACTGCCGCACGTCGCGTTACAAGGGGGGCGCAATGAGCCTTGGTCTCCGGTCCTGCGTTGTACCGATCCACGTTTCAGTAGGTCGATGCGGCCCGTCCTTCTGGGTCACGCAGGTCATTACACTCGTTACTGCTCCGGATGACCTGCTGGCGGTACTGGGCTTCTCATTGTCTGTGAACATAGGATTCAGCGCCACTGCGATTTTCCTTTGCTCCTTGCCCAGAGGTGTAAGTTGGGCCCGGTGATTGTGAAGAGGCGCCAAGATGGAACTTTTGGCCGGGTCTGTGCCTTGATGTGCTAGATTGGCAACAGCAGCCATCTTCTTCCGCGCCGACTCATCACAACTTGCCAAATGACCATTTGGCTGAAATTTCTTCATTTCATTGAGTTCTGACCCGCTAGTACCACTGCTAAGTCGGCCCAGGGAGGAATCCTCAAATTGTCGGGACTTCATCCAGCTAGAAAAATCAACTATCGCGCCGTTAAAACCAGTTCGAAACAGAATTACTCTCCCTTCCAGCCATTCTGAGATGGCCTTCGCCAGTTTCAACCAATGGTCAAGCTACTGGCATAGATGGCGGGTATTTTGATAATACCTGGGTGGAAAAGGTAGTGACTATCTCGTGGATAATAGCTATATAAGGAGGTATCCTGAGCCCCATCGGTACCAATCTCCCTTCATCCAATCATCCCACCATCTTCACAATTCAGTGCCCCAGCTCCAAAACAGTCTCAAAAAAGATCCAATTTCAATTTCGCCTTCATCATCCACACCAATCAATCCTCCAGAAATTCAAAAACGTCTAGCTCTTTCCATCAGCTTTTCTAACTTGATCCTTCATCACTCAACAACACAACCATCCAGCGGCCTTTCAGATCTCGCAACCAAGTTGAATTTGATCACTAGTATTCATTTCCAAAGATGATGACCAACTCCCCAAAATCCACCTACTTCTCTTTCCCTTCCTACGAGAGTCACTTCATAAGTGAAGTGGAAGAGGCACCTGCTCCAGCCACCGCAACACTCTCCCAAAAGGCACTCGAGCCACTGATTGATTGTTCTGCTGAAGCCTACCCAATCATCCAGCGGGGTTCTCACTTGGAAGCCGAAATCGAACTGATCCTTTACCTGAATGCTCCGAGAAAGCCCGCCTCGTTATACTCAGAGTCCTCATCTTCGAACAGTTCCATTCTCTCATCTTCATCTTCCATCATCCGATCCATCAGGAGCTTATGGCGATGAGGCAAAAGGAAGCCCAATCATCACAACATCAACATGAATCCCTTCAACTCACTGTCACCGACGGTTCACAAGAGATTTCAAGGAACTCGACCTCACATTCCGGGATCATTTGGATGGAGTTCACACCAGACATCACAACAAAAGCAAAGTCTCTTCAGCACTCAATCATTCTATCTTCGCCACCATTGGCTGAACCGTTCATCAAAGGCTAAAGAAAAGAAAAGTATATGTGGCTCCGAGATTCAAATCATAACGAACGGAGGAGGTCTCATTCCCTCACAAGAAACTTAAAAATATCTGGATGGACCTCTAATATCTCAATTTTCTTGGATCCTCAACGTACATACCGGTGTGATCATTATCAGTAGCAGGACAGTCTTGCCAATTCAAACCATCAAGCAACCTATCTCAAGCCAATCATCCAATCCTTGAATTATCAGTTTACCTTCTTGGATTATCCGTTTACCTTTTGAATTATCAGTATCTCTCAAATTATCAGTTCCTCTTGAATTATCAGTTTCTCTTGAATTATCAGTTCCTCTTCAGTTATTAGTTTCCCATGAACTATCAGTTTGTCTTGAATTATCCCCATCACCAGTTTAATACTCAACTCCACCCAGTATCTGACATATCCTGTTTTCAACCCATTATACTCATCTTACCAAATAATCCAAATCAACTCATCAACATCTGTTTTATCTGTCAAAGACACTCTCTCTAGTTCTTTTTCTTATTTTTTTCAATCTCTTTCTCTTCATCTCTCTCTTTTAATCTCTATCTTGTAGTATCTGTATCCCTTTTTGTAATATTCTTGATCCCAAAAAATTCACAATAAAATATGTTCACTTTAATAACTTGCGGTGTTTGAACCCAAATTCATCAAGTCTGAAAAATAGTGATACCCATCTGTGTGAAGAAATCAATTTTACATCAAGTAATTGTGTTCAGAACTCAACCATCCTGGTGGGATGATCATCTGTAATACCAAAGCATCAATAAATCTGTCCTGTCTCTCCACATACTTGTCCAAATCCAGGGATATTTTTTCATTTATCTCCCTATTAATAATTTTACTCTAATCTTGTTGGAATTTGATTGACTTGCCCTTGCTCATTTCTACCTCTGCTCACAACCCTCACATCTCTTTTCTCCCACCATGTTTCACTCCTCTACTTCTTCTATCTTTTCCTCCATTTTCTCAGATCCATCCTTCATTTGTCTCAAATTCTCCCTCATTTGTCACTTACTTATCTCATGGATATAAACACAAATTAAATGACAAAGTCAATTGACCTAACCTATTCTTCCAGCAACCACAATTCAAACTCCAATCACATCAGATATAAACAGCCTTCAATGACAACAAAATATTCTCATCCTTCAGAAGCTTTCCTTCATCAAACATCCTCTTCTGCTTGGCCTTTGCTCTTCTTCAAATATCACTCAAGCTTGACAGACATTCCTATCACCAACTTTCCCTTCTGTTGCCATCTAATTCCTTCCTTGGTCCTCTATCTTCTATCTCTCTTCTCTCATATCAAACAATCACATTAGGATTGATGTCACCTCAAAATCTATTCAGATTAAAATTCATCCATCCTTATTTCTCTGAGTCTCTCTTTTGACTCTTTGGATTGCCTATTGTCAAGTTGGCAAGAAAAAAAATCCCCTTGCTTTCTCTTGTCTCTATCCAAAAAATTACCTACTTTGCTTCCCATTGAAGCTCACTGAAATTGTGGTAATGTTAATGTATGCTAGTTTCTCATCTCTCATTTCTCAGTTATGTCAATTTTGTTTTCCTATTTTGCTACATATTTCCAACTTTGTTTCTTTTCTATATTTTTTTCTATTATCAATCAAAAAACATGTTTTCATCAAATCTGTCTTTTGTATTATCTCAAAAATTCATTTTCCATTCATCAAATCAATATCTCTTCCAGAAAGCTGGAGTTTGTTTTTTTTCAACCCATCATATTTAGCTTACCAAATCATCAGACATCAAATCATCAGTGTTTCAAATCCCAATGGAGTTGTTTTTTTTCTCTTTGCAGCTCTTTCTTTGTGTGGCAGGTCATCAGAAATGAGGGGAAAAATCCTTCTTTTATATTTGAATGGAATTCTTTCTCATGTATTTTTCCCAGCTCTTTCTTGTGGTAATGAAGCACTCATCAGTCCATTGCACAGCATTAAATGTCCTGTTTGCAATTTCAAGGCCAATATACTTTTTTTGAAATATCAAAGTGGAAATCATTTCCCACAGCTATCTCAAAGCCCCGTCTTGATGGCTTCTCCATAACACTCTGAAAAAATCTCATCAAATGATAGGCTATTTTTTTGAATAAATGAAATTTTTAGTGTGAATTATTTAGTCAGAGTAAAAGATAATATTGAGAATGAGGGATAGAGAGCAATTGATGAGAAATGTGGAATTGGACAACAATAGTTGTTACACCAAGCTCACAGTATTGCTAAAAGTGAAGTTTCTCTCAGAAATCTTGAAACTTTATAAAGTGTAGGTCCTGATCCAGCTCATGAACTAACAAAGTGGCTAATTTGCCATTGTAATCATGTTCCCAACTTTGCCTTGAAAGTGTAAGAGCCACCAGCTCTTCACTAACCGTACATACAAGACCAGTGTCTTGGAGAGATTCTAGAACTGATCAGACTTTAATTTCATTCCAAAATCTAACCCAGAGAGTGGAGGATCAGTAATCTCTTTTACAATTAGGCAGGAAAGATGGTAGGAGAAAGAGAGGAGACAAGAGGAAAATGGGAAAGCTCGCCTATCTCAGAGAGTGGAGGATCGGTAATATCTACTGAGCTACAAAAGGACAGTTGAAAGGAGTCAAAAAGGGTACTTCAGATTACATAATCTGTGACACTTCACATTAGAGGGGTTTACAATTGAAATTTTGGCTTCTGAGGTTGATAAAAATTCTTTTCTGGTGCATGAAATCAGCAAACTCAGGAGACCTTCAGTGCTACACCTTGCCTGAACAAATCAGCTTTGGACTTGTTACAGGTTGTGATTTTTTTTTTTTTGGACTGAGACAACCAAGTCTCTGAATGCTGGATCAAATCATTTTGATGTGTTCAGTAAAATAAAATTTTCACCAGTATTTAAAGCACCTTTAAGTACTTATATTTTTCACAAGGGTTGCTTCTGGCAAATCCCAATTGTGTACCCCACAATAAGCAGGTGGGTTTAACAGCAAGCATCTGGGGTAGTAGCCCACTGACAACAACTTAAATTAATCCAAGTTCACCAAGCTTGACATAAGTCTTGCTGCAGAGGGCACATCTGGCAGTGTAGCACTGGCCAGACAGTTACCAAAAGGTACTACTGCAGGCAAGACTTGCATCTAATGTTGCCCAAATTGTGTGGTGAGTTTCTACTGTTTTGGTGGGAGCTTCAAAAGATTTGGAATCACAACACTCCCTCAAAACTTTGAGGATGTTTGACCAGATTTTCTTGAAGCAGGACATCCTCACTCTTGTACAGCCAAAACTTGGAAACAGTACAGTGAAAATGGATCTTAATTTATGATGAACTTATAAAATCAATGTTTGAACTTTTTTTACACTGATATGAGTGGTTTGATGAGCTTGCACACACCAAAAAAGGTTGACTTGAAAAGTTGCCATTTTCAAAAAAAGCTACATTAAAATTGACACCATGACAAAACAAATGTGAGCAGAGGTAAAAGTGTAAATGAAGCATACCCTCCTTGGCCGGGCAGTACCATAGGGATCAAAATTCAATTTTTAATCATTTCTCTTTCTCAACTTTTCATTTCATCAAAATTGACCATCACTGGAAGCCAATTGTCAGCATCAAAGTGAAGAATTTCAATCTTAGACCTCTCAAGTTTTTGTCAAATTCATTTGTAGAAGGCAGAAAAAATGCCAAATTTTCAAAATCAAATCCTATGATACTGGCCCTAGATTAGGGTTGACAGTGTCACTTTTGGAAAAGTGTTTGCTGGAGGGAACCTCCAAAGCTGTCAGCAACTCGCACCTTTGACAGGCACATCAGAGGCGCACCAGGGGTGCTGTTTTTATGCAGTAAAAAACATGTCACATCTATATATTTTCCATGTTTTTGATTCTTTAATTTATTTCAAACTCAATTTCCTTACCGCAGCAAAGTGTGACTTTTCTTGATTGGGTAGTCAAAATTGGTGGGTGGCATGTGGCACTTGACACCATTTGGGGGTCAAACAACAAACTTTCATGGGCAGTTGATGGATGACTCCCCCTGGAAAAGTTAGGCTTAGTGAGTGCACACCAACCCCCTTTTTCAAGATTTTGGGCACCTAAGGGGTGCACGTACATGGCACCTGCACATTGGTGCACACCTAGGGAGCACACCGTCAACCCTACCCTAGATATATGTGGATGAGGAAGTTCATAATACACCAAAAAAACCAGTTTCAAGGCCAATTTTGGAATCTTAACACACATCAATTTTGACACAGGGCATAGGCCTCCACTGGTGTGGGTAGCTCTGCTGTTTGCTAAAGCTCTCACTGTGGAGGCCTAGTTAATCTTGTTTATTCAAAGACATCTTGCAGCACTTTCATGCAGAGGTCCTGCTATGGCTCACAGAAACATACAGGGGTTTATTTGCCCTTAATCTTGGCCCCATCTTCACCTTACAAGCTTATGTTTTAGCAGGACACTGTCAAACACCAATCTCAATCCAGCTTGATTAGGCTAGAGAATCCAAAGCCACTTGCGCCCTTGTGCGGGGTGACTGAGATGGATAAAATATTGTCATATCACCTCCTTGGAGGGGGGAATTCTGCTACACTACAGGGTGTGCCTTTAAGGTTTGGCTTTGAAAAAAGTTGGGAAAAATTGTGGACTTTGCAAGTTTAACAAAGCTTTTGCAAAACATTGCAAAACCTTTATAAAGGTTCTGTCAAAAAAAAAAAAAAAAAACTGATTGCAAAATCAGCTTTTTAAGGTTTTGATCCAACACAATGCTGGTTTCAATGCATATTTTGTTGCAAAATTGTTTCAAAACAGTTGCACAAAGGCCTGCATCTACAGGGGAGGAAATCAGGGAACTTAGTCCTTGTGAATTACACAATTGCTTATGAAAGGGATCCCAAATGTTTTGTGCAACACTTGCAAAAATTGCAAATCCCAACTTTGTAATGATTCTGATAGAGTTATGAAAGAATTGCAAAAGAGTTTGAAAAGAATTTTGTAATGATATAGGATCTTTTGAGGCTGTTTTGGAACTTTTGCAATGTCTGAGACTGGATTGGCAATTTGAACAGCTTACCAACATGGACCTGTTACTGTCACTTATTTACACTCGAAACATAACTTCATATCCCGCACTGGATGTGCAGTAAAATAAACCTGGATATGTAGTATTTTTATATTTTTTTTCCACCTCTTCACACCATTTTCTTTTTAAAAAAAAACACTGAATATCCAGTTTTTTTTTACTCCATATCCAGTACTGGATATGAGGTAGTGTTGAAAGTGTTACCAGCCTATTCATTCTGATATGGCTAGTCTGAATGTTGTAATTCTCTCTGATATGTACTTCTATTTGTCCTGCAGAAAGAAAAAAAAGAGACAAAAATTTGGATCAGATCGACTAATTGAACAAAACAGAAGAGAAGTAAACATTTAGGTCTGATTGATTCAGATTGATTGATTGAGAGAAAAAGCATCAAACAAAAAACATATATATATATAAAGATGTATGCAGATGAGATTGATCAATTGAAAGGAAAGAAAATATTCAGATTGATCAAAAGAAAGAGGGGAGGTGAAGAAACATTAAAATAAATACTATATGTACTATATATAGGAAGAGAACTCAAATTAGGTGTTGCTTTCCTGCTGCACCTCATCTTCCCTCTCAACATCATTGCCAACAGTACTTGTGCATTCCCTTCCTTCCCCTTATTTCCAAACCTCAAGAAATTCCATATATATATATATATATATATATATATGTCAGTATGTGCAGCTATATTGGAAATGCTTGCAGACTTTCCAAAGTTTTTTTATGTTTTCTTCAAGCAATTTTTTTTTTCAACCCTGAACCACTTAATTGGGGGCCCAGCCAGTGTGAAGTGCAACAAACCACCCAGCAGTTGAGAGAGTCCGCAATCGATTGACCAAAGGTGTAGAAACTGAGACTGGATTTCTTGAAACCCAAACCAGAAACTGACAAGGATGGGCTAGAAGATATAGAAACCAGATAGAAAGGAAAAACAGAACACTAGCCCTGTTGCCGATAGACTTTCTCCAAGACAGACAACATCCATATTTTGATGAGACAAGAGACTAGCAGAGACGGATGGATGAATGAAGAAGATCAGTTGATTGAAGTTTTTTTATGAGGAAAGAGAAAGGAAGGAAAGACAGCCCCTAATAATGTAGGTAGAGATCAATTTTAAATATAGAAGAGAGAAGCACAAAGATCAAAGATGAGATAACTAATAATAAACAGATGAAAGAACTTAGTTCTGATGAGTTAGAAAGAGAGAGAGAGAGAATCAGAAATGCAAGTTGTGAATTTCTCACCAAGTTGGAAGCTACAAATTAGGCTGTCCAATGTTAAAGCTTTGCCGTACTTGTTGTTGGTTGAAATGGAGAAAGGTCAATCTTGATCTTGAGATATGTTGAGATGTGAGCAGTGTAGTGAAAGTTGATGAGCAGGAAGGCAATGGTTGATCAGGAAGGAAGGAGAGAAGGGAGCGGTTGGACAAACAAGATGAGAGTAGATGGATTTGGGATTAGGTTGGGTTTGGTGAGACAGTCTTGTTTCACAGGAGTGTCACAGGATATAACTTGGACTCAAGTTTCAACAAAAGTCCCACGGTTTAGTTTTTGGAAATTCGGATGAGTTGGTCAAGTGTCAATTGGTAGGCAGCCAGCTGCTACTATTCTACCTACACAGTTGATCCCCAAGAGGCAGCTTGTTGGTGCAAGAAAAAAAAAGAAAGAAAAAAAAGAAAGGAAAAGTCCCAAAAGGCCTCAGTCCAAGCATTGCTCTGATATATAGCTGTATCGAGTCAAACAAGTGTGAATTATTGTGCTGATTGAACAAAAGTGGATAAAAAAAATAAATAATCTATATATGTAATTTCAAAATTTTCCATAATTATTAGCTCACCCAAAGAGAAGTTAGAACCAACCAAAAGTGACCGAGGAATCAAAAAAAGATGCCATGAAGAAGAAGGATAAAAAGGAAAGGGTATGTTATATAGACCCATGATCAACTACATCCATTTGTCCCAGAAAGAGAGATGTTATCACCGTCTCCAACCAAAACCCAAAAGAAAAACGGCTAGATGATAATGCTCACGAGAAAGAACCTTACGATAGATATGGAATGATTGATACCCAAGTAGTATGTAATAGTAGTAGAAGAAGAAGAAGAAGAAGAAGAAGGAATGGTTGGTCAATAGGGAATGGTGGATTGGGTGTGTAGTTTGTGGTTTGAGAGATATGGTTTACATGGTGTGGAATGAATTGAAAATGAGAGAATCAAGCACAAAACACATCCAAAAAAAAAAAACCAAGATTGATAAGAGAGAGGGAGAAAGAGAGAGTAAACTAAGCAAAAAAAAACACACACATAACATACTTTATTTTTATTTTTATTTTTTTATTTTTTTATTTATGTTTTGATAAGATTGTTCAAGATGCTTTTGAAGATTTTGATCAATAGTTAGGAAACCAAGTAAGTAAGTAAGAATGAATGAATGAAGAATGATTGATTGATATAAAGGAGCTTTTTATTGCACATTTTCCAAAAAAAAAAGAAAAAGAAAAAGAAAGAGAAAGACAAGTAGTATATCATAGTTATATATCTAGAGTGAGAGAGAGTGAGATAAGTGATGAGTATGTAAATGTGTAACAGAGTCCATTGAGCAAGAATGGCATTGACTGAGTAGTTCCTTCCAACAAAAAGAAATGAAAAAGGCGAAAAAGAAAAAAAACTAGTGAGAAGGAGGAGGGTTGAAGTGGATAATAACCAGAGCAAGAGGAGTTGTCCTTCTTTGTTTTATTGATTCATATTCAAGAAAGAAAGAAGATTGAGCGATTTCATCGTCTACGCAAGCTAGGGGAAGAAGTTTTTGAGACTAGTTGAGGGGTGGGAGTACCGCCACAGAAGGGGGAGCTGGGGACGGGCAGACCGCCGCCGGCCCACGGGTTAGGATAGGGGCAGTCCTTGACGGGGACGTACCAGCCGGCCTTGTCGGCATTATTAGCCCAACCGGAGCCCGGGTCGACGGAAGTGCTGGCGGGCGAGTCGTGAGGATTGGGCGCGTCTGGCTTTAGGACCACCGGCGATCCAGTGGGCACATACTGGGGCAGATTGCTGGTGTCCGGATAGACCGCATTTTGGCCCTGTTGGACAAAGATCTGGCTCGGTGGCCATTGGCCGTATTGTTGCAGTTGCGCCGGATCGATCGTCCGTGGATCTGAGCCGCCTGCACCGACCTGCCAATCCGCAAATTTACCCGCCCATGGCTGGGCTGGGATCGTGGCTCCCTGCTGAGCCGCAACGGCCCCACAGGCCCCAATGCTCCCTCTGGCATCCGGTCGGATCCAGCCTTCCTGGAGACCCAATTGATAGTCCCACATCGGGTTCGGTTTCAGATCGGGGGTCCGGATCGAGCGAGAGATCTTCCAGGTCCAAAAGAATGAGTTTTGCATCGCATCCTGGGAGGTCGCTGCTAGATCGGCAATGCTTTTCTTCATATCTGGGGTCCAAGTCCGATAGTCCTTCCATGGATCACACGACCCAACCATCGGAAAGTTCGTCGTATCGGGCGCATTGGCAGTAGGATAGGTCCCATCGTACCGGCTACCCACTCCGATATTGTTGAGCCAGAGCCCACAATCATTGACCGCAAGGGAATATTCACCGGCGAAATTGAATCCGAAATTCGTATTGGTTTGGTTGAATCCTTTGGCCCAGTATGTGCAAGGCTTGTAAGAGTTGTAACCCAGTGAATCGTTGCTCTGCTTATCGAAAGCGAAATAGGTATGAGTGTCAAGGCCGATTCGATCGGCACCGCTCAAGAAGCCAGCCCATCCAGTATGGCCAGCCCCAGTCCCCTGAAATCCGTCGTGAATGATCATCATCGGCCCTTTACCCGCTCCGTAACCTGTGATCCCACGGATCATTTGGTATGCTTGAAGATAACTGACACAAGATAATATGCACATCGTAAGTATAGATGGTCTGAGGGAACTGAATGGAGCGAAGAGGGAGAGAGCTTGACTAACAAGGACCTCATCTGTGGCACACCGATCTTCTGGACGAGTGCTTCATTCAGGACGGAGAACATCGGGACGACGTTGACGTACTGAGGCTGAGAGATAAACTGAGTGAGGGTGCGAATGTAATTTAGAGTTCTTTGAGCATTAGCGACGCCCATCAAGCCGACGAGGAAATTGATGGAGCCTAATTTTCCGGAATGATTGAAGCCGTTCTGACTGCCAGGTACTGCATGTAGATCGAGGTTGACTCTGAGGCCGTACTTGCGTGCCCATTGGAGTGCCTTGAGGAAGTATTTGAACGAGACGCCTTCCAGGAATGGTTCCCCATCCCAAGTTTCGATCATCCACCAGCCTACGGGAAGCCGGATCCAGTTGAGTCCGGCGGCAGCGATCTGCATAAAGTCCTCTTCGGTGATAAATGTCCGATAATGTTCCTCTAATGTGGATGCCAGCTTGTCGCCCAGTGCGACTGAGAGTGTCCATTCGTCGACCACCGTAGGCGCCTGTCCGTTCGCATCATGACTACTGAACGGTTCAAACATGTATGGAGTTATAAATGGTTCGAGAACAAGCCAGCCGCCTAGATTGACACCAAGGATACGTCGATTCGAATAATCCCATGGTTGGTTCAACGCTGGTGAATCGGCTTGAGGTTTAGCGGTATCATTGAAAGGAATGGCCACCCATGTTCCGCCTAGAGGATTTTTGTATTCAAAAGTCGTCCCGTTGTCGGTCTAGCAACCACAAGAAGAAGAAAAACACACACACACATATAACAGATTAGCAAAATGAGAGATGAAAACTGGTATGGGAAGGGCAAGATGGAATGAAAGCGGTTGAGCTGAACTGTAATCTTATCGCCGTCTTTGCCCCACAATTTGATCACATTACCGGATGCAGTGACGAGTGTACCATCGCCAGGGTTAACTTTTCCGAGGTCAGCCAGTCGAGATTTGCGCATGCTAACCACCGTTCCGATGATGATCGCCAAGACGAGTAATGCCAGCCCGGCTAAGCTGATGAGCAGGTTACGTCGTTTGCTTGGCTTGTTAGCAGGAGGAGCAGAGCTGACATAGAACGAATCGTTTTCGGTCTCAACTCGCTTGGTGTTCGATGGATGAACGAGCCCGATCCCTTCGATTTCGGTTTCGTCTAGTTTGTCGAGTCTGTATAGAGAGAGAGAGAATGAGAGAATGAATGAACAATGTAATATGATGATCTGGTGGTGGCAAAAAAAAAAAAAAAAAAAAGATGGAAGACTGACGCGACCATGCTACCGGATGTGTGAATCCAAGAGTCGTAGCCGATCCTCGTAAAGTCACTGTCGCTAGTGGTATTCCATGTTGCACTACTGTTACGCTGGTATGAGGGACGACGGGGGAAGTCCTTGAGAGGGGGAGGGTCGTAGGCGAAAGGGTTGTGTGGGAGGGGCGGAAGGTAGGGAGAATGCGGGCGAGAGTCGGGAGGGAGTTGGTGTGTGAGTTCTTCAGGCTCGGGCGAGGGAGAGACAGAGCTTCGTCGGGGTGGATAGGAGTCGTGGAGGTGTTGGTCGACTGGGGTTGGGGCGGTCATGAGGCGTGGTGGTGCTGGTAAGGATCCGATGGGTGGGGGTGATGAGGGGCCCATGATGATCTTCCGGGCGAGAGAATTTCAAGAAAGTTTTCAAGTAACAAGCAAACCGAGGAAAAACCAATCCCCAATATCACGAGTATGCTGTCCAGGGAATGAAAGGGCACAGATTCGAAAAGGGGGGGGTCGATCTAGATAAAATTGAATTATTGGTGTGTTTTTTTTATACAAGGGAGTGTGATGGGACTGAGATCAGTGTTCAGAGCAAGAAAGCAAGATCGAGTGGGAGAACATGAGGTTGTGTTGGTTGGCTTGTGAGAAGAAGAAAAAAAAAAAAAGAAGAAGTTCAGAGGTGTGCCAGTGATTGTACAGCTGGCGGGGAGTGCAACACGATGCCCAACTTCCCATCTTCCCCGACCCCGATCAGGGACGATAAGGACGTCTCGACGAGACAGACTGAATTACATGCAACAAACAACTTCATCAATCCATCACAACTTCATCACCTGACATCCTCAACCAACTCATGGATGGCAGGATTCACACTGTCTGTTTGTACTTAATTCCCAGCGGACCTACATATGTCACTCCTTAATTTGCAAATACCCCACAACACACTCTGAACAGTTGTGCGAAGGAGGCCATCAGCCAAAAACACTGCTTGGCTTTCTCAAAATCCAAAATCCATTCTCAGTGTGTATGTAACGTGACTCAAAACACTGACTATACGAAGCCAGTCTCAAGTAGATACGTTACATACCAATCAAGATTTGTAGCCTTACTATCTATGTATGGTGTTGCAAGCGTGTCTGGGCACAAACCCAAGTCCCGCTTGGCCAATAGCCACCGGGGGTTTGATTTGTGCCCAGAGGGCTTGATCATCCGGAATCTGCGGGGGGGCGGGACTTGGCACATAGCCAAGTCCCCGCCGGGGCCGATTTCAAGCCCTGGCCGATTGGTAGCAGGTGCCCCAGCTCGGCACTGGGCCCCGACTCAAGCAGCTGGCCTTCTCGGGGGCCGGCATGTTGGCCGGCGTGGCACCCTCGCTTGATTTCGGTCAAGCGAGGCTTTGCTCCGACCCCCACCAGCTTTGACATGTGCCAAGCGGGGGTTGGGAGGGTGCCACGCGGGCTTTACAGTCGGCCAAGCGTGCTTTAAGATTGGCCCAGCGCGCTTGGCCTGTTTTCGGCCGAAGTTTGGTGTGTGCCCAGACGGGCTTGCAACACCATATATGCTTGCCCACCGATTCCAGGTATTGTTCACCACTTTGATCAACCCTTTCTTGCCCCACTTCTCTTGTGTGATGCTTTCCAATATATATATATGTACCAAAAAGAAGAAAACCATCATCACTTTGTACTTTATGTTTTTTTTTTTTTCAATACGCAAAATGAATAAGTGAGAAATCAGTTCAAAGAAGCAGAAAAAAAAAAGAATCTCCATCCAAAACATTGGGCCAATCAAAAGAAAGAAGAACCAATAAAGGCGTCAATAAATAAAAAGAAAAAAAAAGAAGGTTCAGGTCAATGAATACATTCAAGGAAGCAGATATAAAAAAACCCCAACCATAAAAAATTAAAACATAAATTGTGTATATTTGTAATAACAAAGAACTTGAATAAAAAAAATGGACAAACAACTTGAAAGATGTTAAGTAGTGATTGGCCAACTGGAAGAGTCAAGGATATACATGTACACAGCCCAAGCAGCTTAAATCAATTTTTATTTTTCAGAGACCCAGAAAGATGATGCCGACTTGATTGGTGCCAGAAACCGACCAAGTCGATCAGTGAGATTATTACCAAGAGATGATGAGAAAGGGCCATATGGATCGCTTGCTTGAGAGGTGATGGCCATCGAGCCTTCGTCCATGGGGCTTGACGAGATCAGTGTGTGGATCTTGACCAGAGGGGATCGCTTGGGCAAGTGTGTATATATGTGGTTGGGTGAAAAAAGGTGATCAGTAGGACGACGGGTGTAAAACACGTACAAGTGAAAGATAGAAAAGAGGGGAAAAAAATGTTCAAAATACTTCTGGAATCAAGCGCTGGTGTGGGTAAGTACAGGGAGGATTTCTTCGGGCAAGGTAACTGGTCGGCAAGAAGGATTCAGGGGTTGATGAGCCGCTTGTGTTGAGTGAATTGGTTGACCTCTAAGGGGATTTGGATGACCTGAACCGCTCAATCATTTCGGAGAAAACGGCTCAAAGACACAACTGCTGATCGAGGTTACGTGCGAGAGAGGTGGAGGACGAGTTGACCGCCGAGACAAGTGACCGAGATATCGCGAGCTTCTTGAGGTCGAGTTAGAATACGGTTGAATAGAAGGGAGCTCTAGAGCGCCCACATGAGATAAAGATTAGATGCTGAAAACGAGAAAGGTCCTTCCAATTGTAGCTTTTTAAGTACCGAAACCGGGACGTAAACGACAATAGGTAAGATTAAGATAAAATACTTGCGAGAACGAGATCATTGGTCAGGTGAAGGCGCGACTATCAGGAACGTGATCCTGTGAGGGAGATTCGGAATCGCCGAGAATCGACCGAGGATGAAAACAGGTTAGATTTGTCCTTTGATGTCTACCTTCCGAGTTTTTAGAGCGGCTTGCTGTAGAGCATCTTTGGCTGGTTTAGGATCCCAGAGCCTCGAATTCTTTTCGAAATAATAGGCCTGATGAGTTTTCAAAAACTCGCAACATTCCTCCTCGGAATCGAAAGCCAATTGTTTGGTCAGATATGAGATTGGAATAGAGCGAATCCTGTGAGAGGCCGTCAGCACCCTTGGCAATGGAAGAGAGAGAGAGAGAGTCGACATTGTACTAACCCTCGTGCCATGATGGCTAACGCTCTGATTCGCTCGCGGTCAATGAACCTATCCATTAAGTATCCAGCCATCATCGGAGCTTCGCAGAATAGTCTAAAAAACCTGCGGTAATTGGCAGTCGAAACCGCAAAACGCACTTGCAGGGCATGCTGGACGCATGCAGCCTGCTTGAGGGAATCTGGAATACTTGGCAAAAGCTCATTCAATTCTTCGAGACGGGACAACGAATAAAAAAAATGCCAAGTGCCCGATTAGCAACGAGCTCAAAATGAGCGAATGTGTGGGCACTGACCACTATAGTTACGTGAGTAGATAAGATAGAGGATATGATACGCCATGAACTCTTCTCGATGACCTTGCAAGCCCAGTTTATATAACGGGCGCAGTTGACTGGTGCATTGATTGAATTCACCAAGATCACCCTGTGCCAAGAGTCAGGTTAGCTTTGTTGGAGTGGATGCTGGCTGCAGAAGACAAACTTTTTCCAGGGCGATACGAGCATGAATTTCGTAAACCGATACTGTGAAATCATTCTTAATTCGTTGGACCTGTCCGGCTTTGACCATCAGTCATCTGAGCAATCACCAAACACAAAGGATGGTCACCTACAGTTAAATCTTGTCGAAGGCTTTTGAATTGATCACAAATCCAGTTGTAATTGCAGTCTGAGCGCAACTTGGATTTGAGGTGATCCAACGTTTTTTTACAAACGTCCAACGGCCTGACATCAGCCGGGTTGGGCTCCTGGAAAGGATGACACCAGTCATTTCAAACCCAACGTGAGTTAAATCAGCTTAAAAGGCACCCACAGAAGTGAGTCTCAAGTAGGGCTTCTCAAGTTTCTGCGAGCAGCCAACGATAGTGTGATGATCCCAATCAGGAATATTCTGTGCAAATAGGCCAAGTTGACGGTCAGATATACTAATCTTGAAGCCGTCAAAGTGGTTGAGAGAGACGAACCTTTTGGTAATCAGCAGACACATTAGCATACACATCCCCTTCATCATAGATTGTGATGTGTAGACCATGCACAGAAGATGTGGTCGCTGGTATTTTGTCAAACCTGCGCAGCCTTTTCTGTCTGCGATCGTCTTCATCATCAACATCGATGACGGGGGACGCAGCACTAAAGAGCAATGGGTTTTGTTTTCGTTTGGTTACCGGCAGGAGTCTGTGCGGCACGAGGAAGGTGGTTGGGCCGATGAGCCTGCAGTCTATGTGGATACGCCATTCAGGTTCAGTCAAGCTTACGTTTGTAGTTGGACGTCTGCCCAATTGATAGTCCACAGTTTACCGTTCTTGTAAGCTTCAAAGATGAGTGATTTCAATTCGGCCTCAACGTCCGCTCGGTTTGAATCGCTACAACGAGCAAACGTTTGATTGACGAACTCCCTGTTTTGGAAGGTCATCAGCTAACGAGTTGTTTTATCATTTTAGTATAGTTTCCTATTTGAAAATTCTCGACTGACTTGAGGGATGGTGGCCAGGAGCTTTGAGTGGACGACATCTTCGAGTTCGTTTGATTGGGTGGGACCTAAACTGTTAATAAAGAGAACAATGTTAAGCACGTGTTATCGTAGGCTATGGTTCTTGGGACTGTGTGGGGGTTGTGAGGGAGTTGAAGGAAGCCGAAGAAGACAGTTTCAGTGCGATTGAGAGAGTCTGTGAGATAGATGTGGGTGTGGTTATCAGTACTCTTGGGAAGTCAACGAGGTCAGTGGTAGATGGTTGGAGGGTGAGATTGACCAAGGGGGAGGAGGACAAGAGGCGACAGTAAGAGTGAGGGCGAGGGTGTCACAGGGGGTTCACAGCTGCATGCAGGATCGGTGACAGGCCTCGACCGATCCTCATTCATTGATCGCCCTCACACTGGAAGTTCTCATCCGCAAGTTGTATCTCAACTCGGCCCGAAATCGGGGCATCATGGACAGGCGAAGACAGGACATCGAAGACAAACGAGCTAAACTTGGTATGTCCCACTACAAATCCCCCCGCACTTCATGGTTTTTTTTGGTATGGTATGGGTGTCCTGACCTCAAGTTTGCTATCCTTGATGATGTTTCAGCTGAACTGCGAAAGGCGAGAGAGGAACGAAGAACCAGATTACAGGAGGAACGTGGCGTAGGGGCGACGGTAAGCTGAATCAAGTCAGCTCACAATTACATCGAGCTCTATACTGAGATGTCTCACTACTGTCTTTAGACGCCCATCAACACTGGCGTGCAAAACCCACGACCCAGCCGGGCTGAAATCGACTCTCTGGTATCCGATCTATTGAGCCCCGCTGGTGGGCCTGCCTCGGCTTCTTCAGGTGTCACCTCGCCCGCCCCTAATACACCATACACTATCACTAGCGCCAATACCACCGGAAAGACTTCGAGCATCGGTGGGGGTCGGTTCAGTTTTGGAAGACGATCGAGTCAAGGGAGCCATTCCGGCGGTCAGATCACCTCTTCAGACATCGACAACTTCCCCTCTCAAACAGTCCCATCCTCCGAACCTCAAGATGCCGGTAGTGTCACAGGCGCGTACGTTCAGTCCACCGCTCACTTCAGCCTATCAATCAGCCTTCACTTCCTAACCTCACCTCCCTATTAGATCTCCTCTCTCAGCATTGCCCAGCTTTACCAATTCCTCCCAAGACTTGTACGAGATTGCACCCAAAGTCAGCCCCTATCTATGAAAACAATCAGCCTTATCTCAGGCGCATAATATCGACGGCCTGATTGTTCCTCGATCGCTCTTCTAATTTGCCTACAGCCACGACTATTATATAACAAATCCGTCCAGACTCACTCCATTTCAGTGGGTCCGGGGCCATCGGGCTCGGTCGTCTCGAATGGTGATGGAAATCAGGCGATCACAAACCCTAACGAAGAAGAATTACGTCTCAAACTAATCAAGGAACTCGAAACTGAACGAAAGAAATTGGAACAGGAAATCAAGGATGAACAGCGTCGGATAGAGAAGGAGATGGAAGAGGACAGGTTGAGAGGTTTTTCTTCCATTCCTTCCTCTCTTTTTTTCATATTCACTCTGAATTGCTCTTGGTGCTTGCTCAGAGGAGATTGATTTTACATTCTATATTTGTGATCTTAGGATTGGATCCACGGACTCTAGCCACGATTTACTCGGATGCAGAGTTCAACGAGTTTCTTGAATCGTCTTCCAAAATCATCCAACGTGCACTATCTGATGGCTATGATTATCTAAAGGATTATTCTGTGAATTTCGGTGACGAGGATGGAATGTAAGCTCTTTATTACTTCTCTCTTTTGGTTTTTTCTTTTCCTCTCTGAGCTGAACCTTTTTTTCGCTTCACTTCACCCCGAATTCAGTGATGATCGTGAGGGTAAACGTGTCAAGCGAAGTTGCGAGTTTTATGAAGAAAAACTGTTGAAGAACCGTAGCGTGACGGATTTAGATTGGTCAACAAAAGTCAGTTCTATTCGATTTTGAGCCAAAAGAAAAGAAACAATTGTCATTTTACATGAGATTGAGTTGTCCCCTTCCCTGAATAGAACCCCGAACTGAGTCTAGCTTCGTATAACAAAAATCCGAGCGGGATCAACGAACCAGATGGCCTTGTCTGTGTTTGGAACTTACATCTTCTTGATCGTCCGGAATACACATTTCATGCGCAGGTAAACCCATCAAGTAACATTTACTGATCTACGCTTCAAATGAACTAATGTGAGCTTTTGTGGCCACTTTTTCTTTTTGTTGGATAGTCCGACGTCCTTTCTGCTACCTTCTCGCCATTCCATCCTAACCTTGTGATCGGAGGTACTTACTCTGGTCAGATCTTGATTTGGGACATCCGACATCGCAAACAATTGCCGGTCTTGAAGACTCCACTCTCTTCTTCTGGCCATACCCATCCGGTTTACTCCACTTCGATCATCGGCACTCAGAACTCGCACAACTTGATCTCAGCCTCTACCGATGGCACGATTTGCTCGTGGGCTTTGGATATGTTGGCTCAGCCCCAAGACCTCATAGAAGTCTTGAACCCGAGCCATCATCGAACAGATGAAATGAGTCCCACCTGTTTTAGCCTTCCAGCAAATGAGATCAATACGATTTGGTTCGGGACGGAGGAGGGGAACGTCTATGAAACTAATCGCTTCGATCGTGCTGGAATGAAATCGGGATTGATTCAAAGTCTGGTTTACAAAGGTCATTCGGGGCCCGTCTTGGGAATCGATTTTCATCCGATGAGCGGCCCGGTTGACTTTAGCGACTTGTTTTTGACCTGTGGAGTGGTATGTGAATTTTCCTCTGATGAAATGGGTCGACGATCAGAGACTGCGAGATGAAGAAGAACTCAAGGCAGATGTGTTTCGATTGGGGGGTTTTTTTTTGCAGGACTGGACGGTCAAACTGTGGAGACCCCAAGGAAACAGTAAGAAGACCGAGCAGCCCACCGAGCCGGTCCCGCCAAGTCGACAGCCCCGGCTCAACAGTACAGCAGCTAATTCAAAGCCGAATTCAACCGCCCCGCGCGCCACGATTATCGCCCCGATTTATTCCTTTGAAGAAGCGGATGACTACATCTTCGATGTCAAGTGGCATCCTTGTCATCCGGCTATGTTCGGAACTGTCGATGGCTCGGGCAAGTTCAACTTGTGGAACTTGAATTCGGATACTGAAGTACGTCAATGTCCTCCGTTGTGCTTGTTTGGTTTCTTTCCATTTTTTAACAAACATCATCGTCATCTTACTTCGTTTTGTAGGTCCCAACTGTTTCAATCTACACAAACCCCGCCCAACCTAGAGGATTGAATAAATTGGCATGGGATAAACGAGAAGGTAAAAAAGTCTCGATGGGCAGCATTGATGGCCGAGTGTATGTATATGTAAGTCCCCACCTCTATTTCTCTTACATTACTCCCATGGATGACATCACAAGAAGCTCTTCTGAAATCGTGGGGCTTCGTCGCTTTTTTTTTTTTTTGATAAAAAGGACATTGGAGAACTTGCTTTACCTAAAGAAAACGAGTGGGATCAGATGAGGAAAACGTTTGGTAGCTTGATGGGGACTAGCAGTAATGGGATCACCGCCTTAGATGTCCGATAATCACTGCAACTACTATTAACTCAAACCCTACTCTTGTATTCATGTGTTATTATTTCTGACTATGCTTATCATAGATGATCAATGTCATCTTGACGCTGCTGGCTTTGTTTCCAAAATCACTCAAATTTCATGAACGCGATCAAAATACATGAGGTATGATCAACAAAACTGGAATCAAAATATGGTGCCCCAGAACCAAAAGTGACTTTTTAATGGTCATCACAGATACATGTGTAGTTAGGAAGGCAGAACGCACCATCCTGATTATAATCCATCCCTCAAACAGGTGTGCTGGCGCCATGATTGCCAACGTGTAATAAATTGACAAAAACAGGTTCAAAGGATTGTAATAAAGAGCACAGTAGTTCGGTAGCCTCTCTCAAGCAATAGAGACCGGCAGGGCAACAAAACTTGACTTCAAGACAAAGTGATGATCAGCTGAAGAAGCCTGTAGGGAAAAAAGAAATAAGACTCAATGAGAGCACTCGTTGTGTAATTGGCTCATCATGCCAGTCAACAGTAATTTTCTGAGCTCCCATTGCCTCATTGAAAACATATTAATAGGATATGTGGAAAGCTGTGGTCGTGAGTCTAATACTATCTTCAACCGAATTGACTCCGTCACTAACTCTCACTCTGCATATATCGGTAGAGGATCATCAGTGTTACCATTTCAAGGAAAATAAAATGAGACATACATGGCGCCGCCGGGATGAGTGGCAGAACAGCAGCTCGGAGGCGTCCCCGACTTGCAGGGCAGCGAGAGCGCCGCAAGGGACGCCTACCAGACGCCGGGCGCGAGCGGGTGTGGAGCTGATGGGTCTGATGTAGGAGGATCCCCATTCGGACTCCGAGTGACCTTTTTGTTTTTCCCTTTTTGGGATATACAATGCAGGCATTATGGACGCTGGCGACAGGTCAAGCAGTGGGTTGTGGGGTGGGTCAACTGGAAGCGCTGCCGGTTTGGGGCTGCGGGAGCTCGGGCGGCTGGGGCAGGGGCTGATTGGCGGGGGCGAGGATCGGTTGGGGACCGGTGTCGAGGTTGAGATGGAGTGACTTCCGGTTGGCGAGCCTGTTCAGCGTTGCGGGGACGACGGGCCAGGGACATATATTCATATCTAGAGGAATTGTGAAAGCGACGATTAGTTTTTGGTGTCGCGAGAAAGAACGAGTTGGAAAAGATGGGAATCTACTTACCAAGTAACTTGCGTGGAGATCGATCGTGGTGGTATGGAAAGCTGGGTTGACTAGTGTTTTAGAGAAAACTATCTGCTGCAGAACAGGGTGGGAAGGGTTAATTAAGCGGTCTGAAGTTGTTGTGTTTTCAGGAAGGAGACTTTGTGGAAAATGTATGTAGGAGGAGAAAGGCTTACCCGGGAGGGGCTCGGTATGAAGTGGGGAAGAGGAAAGTTGGATGTGGGGGCACTGGGACGGCGATATATAGACACGAAAAAAAGCTATCGGCTACATATAAAGCCTACTGCTTCTCATTTCTAGCAGCAGAGGTTACAGCTTTGGAGCGCTACTGTAGACTCCTCATGAAATGGTTCAGTTATGTAGCTCAGCAGCTGGACATTCAAGTCGCCATGGGTGAATTATGTAGAGAGGTTGAACACCGGACAAAGGGTTCTGATAAGAACAAATGGATGCATAAGAGCACGATTTCCGTGTGGAATTACAAAGAGGGGTCATGGTTGGGAATGAGAGTGGTTGGATGGGGATGGCAAGAAGAGGGAAATTCACACTATTTACAAAGGATGTGGCTGGATAGACCTGGCTACCTGAAGTTACATCTGCTGACGACCGACAAATGTTTGCATGGCTGGTGTGATGGAACCAATCAGTTCTGAGAGGTGCCTTGTGGTCCGTTCAACTGCTTCAAGGCGATTTTCGATTGCTTGGGTCCTCCGGTTGATCAACCGGGTGGTTCGATCTGCACGCTGGGCCATTCGATGGGCCATTCGTTCCTCTGACTGCCTGATAAGCTGGGCCATTCGATTCTCTGACTGCCGGATACGCTGGGCCGTTCGATTCTCGGACTGCCGGATTAGCTCGTTGATTTGTCTGAGCAAGATTTGGTTGTGAGCGGCCATGCCCACTTCAATCGCATGTTCCATCGCAGCTTGAAGTTGTGGTGTGATTAGGTTATTAGGTCCTGTGAGTCAAAAAATAAAAGTAAGGTGGCTTCAATACACTTTGAACCTTGAGAGGTAAATGAAAAGTTGGTTATGTACCAAGTCGAGCTAGGGTAGTGAGGCAGGTCTGGAGAGCAGCAAGTGCAAAGTTGGCTACTCGATGGTCGTCTATCACCTGGGCAAGGTGGGCTAGAAAAAAAAATGCAGGGTGTGAGAATCTGTTACACATATGCATATTTACATGATCACAAAAGATAAAAAAAAACACACCGTCTTGCTGCAGCACTAGAAACAAGTGTATCATTTGGTCCGAGATACACGCCAATGTGGGTGGGTGCAGGGCCAGCGGAGGTGCAAGAGGAAGCTGTTGTTGGGGTGGAAACAACATGGCTATGTATTTATGTATATGGATATATGTATGTAACAAAAGGAATGTGAACGAATGTGGTGGGAATGTGGTGGATTAGGATGGATGGATGGATGTTGTCGAAAGCCAAAGAGATACTTCCTCTTTATGAGACCTGCGTTACCGCTCTGGCAGGTTTTTTGTCGGATGATGGCCTTCATGTGTTCCTATGCACACCAGGGCATTGAGTTCAGGCAAGCGGGTGCAAGCTGCTTGAACTCATCCGATCACCGGTCAGGTTCCGATTTTGATCAAGGATGGCTAATTTTTCAATCGAAGTACTTCAAGTCTGGAAGGCAACCAGACTTGATGATCACCAGAGGGCTCTGGTAGACGGCTGGCGCAAGGCACAACCTCCAAATGTATTGATGATCGCTTCGACAGAGCTGGGGAACTCCGCCTTTTCTTTGTTTTGTAGACTTCATGCTCGGGTTCCTGAAAATCATGAGCTTGTTTCTTTCGAGTGGGTGTCTGGTTGGGCTGACGTAATCGATTGAAAAGAACCACGATAAATTTTCAATCGGATCCATCCTGAACTTCTGCTTAATTATATATGCACCAAGCTGAATTACATAGCGAAGCATTAAGATGCCCAAAGCTAACAGGACGACTGGGCCCGAGAAATTCAAAAAGACTGGAAAGAAGAAAGAAGACAAGCGAGTGGCCGATCATCATGAGGACTATGATCAACTGTTTCAGCTGGCAGTCAATCAGGAAGAACAGGGCGAACGATATCAATTCGGAGCGAAGGCCCAGAGGAATTACGAACAATCGATCGAGAGCTATCGACTGTCAATCGAGCTGATCTCAAGGAACCCTTCAGACCGATCGCCTTCGGATCGGTTCAACAGCCATTTCAACCTGGCCAGAGTCTTAGTCAACTTCGGATCCACCTTCGCTTCTGCTCCATCGGAATCTCTCAAGTTCGTCCAACATGGAATCCAGGAATATCGGCTGGCGGTGGAGTATGCGATCAAGGACTCAGACCGATCAGACGAGATCGATGCTCGTTACAATCTTGCCTCCGCACTCTCAACCTCCGCAGAAATCTTATCGGCCGGGCAAGATCTCAACTCTGGCCCGCTCGATTACCATTCCATGTCGATTCAAGTCTGGAAACAAGCCAAGGAGGAGCTCTCACGAGCCTATCAACTTCAAGAAGAACTACTCTTATCCGATTCTTCACTGAATCTTGGCCCCTCAACCTCGCTCGATCAAGGAAAACATATGACAAACCAGGATCCTGCTCAAGAAGAAAACCAAACTGCTTCGTCCCCACCAAACGGACAGACGACTCTAGTCGAAGAAGTCTTCGTCATCACACCCTCCGTCCTCATCGACACCTTGATGGACATTTGCGAAGTCTTGCTGTCGATCTACTCCTCCGAACCTGAGGCGGTCTCTGCCGAACTACAGCAGACGATCCAACAACTTGGATCAGTCAACCAACTCATCCAAAACTCGTCTGGTTCAAGTTTCAGTCGCCAATTTGAAATCGATAGCTTGATCTGTAATATCGATTTGACCATCATCGATCATACGCTCTCCGAAAGTTGTGATAACACTCCCAGTAGCCCGAATTGGATGGTTGAAATAGCACAGAAACTGGCGACGGTCAATCAAAGATTAGAAGATTTATCCACGCAAACGAGCGCTTTAGATCAAGATTTTCTGAACTTGTTAGGACTGGCGAATAACTATTCAAGCTTATGTACGGCTACGTGTTCCTTGATCGCCATCCGATCAAAGCTCAACAAGACACCGATTCCAGAGATAGAGATCGAGGAACTGAAGTGTTTGATCGAGAGAAGTATGAGCTTATATTCGACCATCTTAGAAAAACTGAAGCATTCAAAGCTTCGTCCGATCAAACAAATCAAACCACACGAGATCTCTTCGTATATCAGTTCGAGTCTGGTTGGCCAATCTGAACTGACGATGATTGTCGAATTATTAGAACAACAACAACAGCAAGGAAAGAACTTGGAATGTTTATCGAATCAACGGAAATCTTCATTTGATTTAGCTATCGAAGCGTACAATCAAAGCTTAGGGGCCTACCAAATCAGTCGACATCCGAGTCCAACCTCCTCCTTTAAGTTAGCATTCACGCCCGTCGGCCTCGCTCATCCAACAAACAGCACCAGGGATCAATCATCAGGGATCGTCAGGAACGAATGGGCGAATCTCGCCGTCCGATTGGAATCCATCAAGCTCCTCTTGAGGTCCAAATACATCCATCTTCTCCACCTCTGCTCTAACAGTCCCCAACTGCATTCGCAAGCAGATCTCGAACAGATCTCGAAGGATCATCTCTTACCTTTGATCCATAAATTCCAGCTCTCTCGATCCGATCTGGCCAGGTTTTATGACGACTTTCTTAACGATCCCGTGTTCATCCTATCTGGTTCAGTCGAACAACCTCTTTTTGACTCGCTTCTGCGTCTTGATCCTTCTCTTGACGCGCCATAATTGCAATCTGTTGAACCACATGGGTTTCAAGCATAGAATCAGTTCTTTTTTATATGTGATACTTTTACATACAAGAAACTTCACTATAATAGTCATCTGCAGACAATGTATCATCCTTTTTTTTATAAAAAAAAGCATTTCCGGTGATTGATGAGTTTGGTCTTTCCGCCCCTTTTTTGAGAGAGAGGGGGGGGGGGGGGAAGCACGGTATGGTTTGGTGTGGTGAAGGGAGCTGAGATATAAGTAGAGCTGGCTTGAAGGCCTGTTTGAATTTGATCGACTTGTCTCAGCCGTATTTATTTATAAAGTCTGCCCCTTTCATCTTATTTACTGACGCAGTCTGGACACTGATTGGGGCCAACCATTTGAGTGTGTTCTCCCCCTTGAAGTGCAGTTTGTTGTGTTATAATGTGCCGACGCGATTTAGCCCGTTCGAAAGCCCAAGACATAAGGACTTTTCAAGTGCTTGATTGGATGACTAAAACTTGGAAGAGAGTTATGTACTCCGAATTGAAAGTTCTTGATTGGAACACATCTTGCGTTTCCTGTAACTTCAGCCTGTCCCTCAGCTACAAAATAGCTGAAGAGGAATCACTTGGTCAGGTGTCTTGCTATTGCCGGCTAGGGTCCTACTGCTACCAATACTAGTTTGGAGAGCGATATGCGCTCTCGGGACATTAAAGCGGTCGGTTGGTGTGTCATTTGATGAGATGAATCTTTTCATCGCTTGGGGTTCCACCTTCCAGCCCTCTCTGACTGCTGCACCCGTGGCCACTATACTGTACTATACTTTACATCAACTCATATTATTTTCTTATGGTACGTACACCGTGTACTTTTCCGCGTATCTTACAGTGTTTCCAGAGTTTCCAGCCGTGTTCGGATTTCCAGGTTTTCCACCCCTGAAAATTTCTAAGTCCCCCCATTTTTTTTCCGGGTCACCCATATTCCTCTAAGTCCCCTACTTCAAGTCATCCCGCCCGAAGTCATCCTTCCTCCCCCGCTACATTCACTACCCCCACCACCGGTGCACTACCCACACCCACCGACCGACATAACAACTAACCGGCATAACACTCGGCATAACACCAACATAACAACTAACCCAGCATAACACCGGCATAACACAACATATGTAGCGTATAACACAACACACACATCAACCGGCGCCAGCCTGAATTATACAACACGCACCCAACTGGTACATCAACCTGTCCCGGAACGAAACCAGTCAGGAATCTGTTATCCACGTCTCCACCGGTGCACAACTCATCGTTTTTTCAGGTTTCTCTAGTAATACACGACTTGTTATATTTATTGCCATTCATCACATCACATGTGTAAATAGTCCAAGAATTTTTTAAAAACAGACAAGGTGCTATTCTGCACCCCAAAAGATAAACAAGAAGAAATAAAAAAAATGGAATGAGAACAAAAGCAGAAACAAAAACAAAAAGAGAGAAAACAAGCCACAACAAAATCAATTATTCGTGAGCATCGTCTACATCCTCCCAATCACCCGCCGTCTCTCCAGCGGGCTGTTCTCCGTCATGTACCTCTTCGCCATCATCAACATGTACCCCCAAAATAGCATCCTCTTCCAAATTATTGAGTACAACTTCCGGCTCCTTCCTCGTTGATTCTTGACTGCGAGTGTTGTGATCGTTTGCCACCGTCATAAGTAGATTGGTCCATCTCGTGAACGTTGAACGAAGTAGCTCCGGCCGACAACGAGCACACAGCCATGATATCGGTTCATCCCACTCTTGTATCAGTATACCAAGATCGAACAAACGGGCCTGCAGTTCTTTGTTGATTATTTTGAGTTTAAGTACCCTATCGAAGTTACCAAACTCCATAGTATCAATGTGATCTTCAGCAAGTTCAACACCATCGCCCAACTTTATTTTACCTGTAAATTGCAAACGGTTGAATTAGTACAAGTACATAGTGGAGAGTCAATGAAAGCAATAAACGCACGAGCTCTGATGTACTTGATAGATTCAGTCAGATGGCTGTACATGAATATCGCCCATTGCATAGTTCGATCGACTTCTTGAGTAATCAAATCTAGTTCTTCATCGACCCTCCCAAGCACCAGAAGGCAAGTGATTCCAGTCCGAACATCTGGTTCAATTGCCCAGGGAGCTTTGGAGTTATAATAGATTCCATCATTCCAAAACTTATGGTCGATTGGCATACTCGCAAACGTGTCGTAATCAAGTGGGTGATTATTAGCATCCGTCACTCGCTGTCTGGGGAACTTCGACACATATGCCTCGAAGCAGCGGTTGTAATTTTTGATGACTTTGTTGATCGGGCCTTTGCGATTATTGATGGCTTGCTGAATCTTTTGACTGAGTTTGGTCCCCAAACGGCGCCCGATTGTCCTGGAGTCGGTGAGTGGCTGCTTTTCCGACCAGAATTGCACAGCTTGGACAAATAATTCCGACTTCGCATCCCACAAAAGCAACAGGAGCCTCTGTTCCTCTAACCAATGCGACAAGAGTAAATATAAAGCAGACTACAGCAGGCTAGAGAATGATAAAAAGGAACTTACCGTCTGCTTCATCTGGATCAGGTTGCTCGGTGCGCCCTAATTCCTCCTGGGCTTTCTTCAGATTGTCGGCGGTTTCCTCTAACTCATCAAGAAGTTCATGCACTTCCTGTTCGCTATGAAGATAACGCATAGGATTCTTGCGCAGGCGAGACCTGTGAAAGATTCCGTAATGAATTTAGAGTTAGCAAAGGAAATATGACGATATAACAATGAATAAAAACTTACCTCAAAGCCTCAAGGGCAGCTTCCTCCTTGTAAACTGCAAGCATCTTCGCTCAACGATCTTCTTGTTCTTCGGTGTGTGTTTCCTTAAATTGACGTTGATCTTGCCATTGTGCTCTGAAAAAACGCTTTTTATAATTATCACCTGTCCTCGAAAACGGATTGGGTTTGTCTAGAAGCTCTGACAAAACCTGTTTGGTCTCCACCCGACGGCGAACAGCAGCTATGAACTTCTTTTTGAGCCATGTTGCTGCAGTGCAGATATCCATCAGATATCAACTCTTGAACAGGAAATAATATCTCAAAAAGCACGTACGAAGTTGCTTAATGCCTCGGGTGTTATGATATTTCAATCGGTGCGAGATTGCCGCGAGTCGGTGATTTCGGGTGGCATATCTTAACGGACTGACCAGTGGGGATAAAAAGGACCACATTCGTTCAAGTCCTTCCCCGTCAGATAACCCCCATCCTTCGTTCAATCGCGGGTTGTAATCCAGCTGACACGTCCAAGAGTGAACGTAGGCATGGAAAACCGAGGTTCCAAACCGAAGCCTTGTCCTTTTATCATCGAGTAATCCCCGCTATTGATAGCAATCAAATTTAGCTTGATGTAGCGAAAGGCTGAAAAGGGTGTGCTTACTAAGGCCATGTACTTATCGAGTGAGCAGCCTATGTCGTATAGGATCCCAACATGTCGATCCGACTCCACGTTATTCAGGAGTTTGTTGACCAGCGCCATTGGATAACACCTTTGTTCACCAGATTTATGGATGTTTGCCATGTATATCGCAGCATCGTGGCGACAACAACAGCCCATCAGACCGGTATCATCGCAACCTTTCCATGAGGACTCGTTGCGCTTGTCATCGGCAGCTTTGTGAGCTTCGGTACATTTGTCTTTCTAGTAGTGCATGCGTATGTATAAGGGCGGCAGGGGGATCAGTCAAATAATGGCCAGGAAAGCGCTATTTCAACTCTATCTACGTACCTTATCTTTTGGTTTTTTGCTCAATTCAATCTCTCGGATCTTAGCAGTCATCTCGTCCACTTCGCGTCGTTGGAGGAACAAGCTTGGTGTGTGTATGCGATCGTAGTCACGGCTAGCCTTGGAATGGTGACGATGTTGAAAGTTGCCGTCAAGGCAAACTATCAACTTGTTCTCTTTCAGACGGGTGTAATCTTGTAGATTTTCTGGTGCAGGTCCGAAACAAGCGGGACAACTCCGACAGGCCATGATTGTCTGTTCGTCCAGGCGCAAGACGCTCGAAATCAAATTCTCGGTTCGATCATTGAGCTCTCGATAGAGGTCCACGGCGGCTGAGAAAGGTTTTCGCAAATCGCGAGCCTACCCCAAACATATCTAAGATCAAATATACCAACGGAAGAGGAACTCTGGAATACAACTCACATGCTTGGCATTTTGCACGGTCAACCGCTGTGACCTCGGTTCTAGATATTGCTTGAGTGCCATGGTGAACGGCATGGCACCAATATGACAGTTGTTCCACAGGCAATTGTGGAGGATAAGCAGAGGTAGCGAAAAGGCCGTGACTGGTCTGATTGGTGATCCGGGAAGATAGCCCATCTGGATCAATCGTACGGCATCCGAGGTACATGAGCAGAATTTGATCTTCGCACGTCGTTGACCTGACAAACGGAAATTAAATTATATTGTGAGTTAACTCAAAGTTACTTTAGGATTAGATTACGAAAACCACAAACCATGTATGTCAACAAGATCAATAGCTCGTCTTGCGCCAGAGATACAGTTGCAGGCGGTAAAATCAGTGTAAGTGTTGTCGTGGGTCCAGTTCTTGGTCTTAACTTTTTGAGCCATGTAAACCGAATGCAGATCCTTCAAAAGGTTCTTCCAGTTCATCTGCACAGCTTCTTGTCGGAGTCGTTCAATGTTGGATTCGATTGCTAAATCAAATTCATCGGGTGGTTCGATGTCGAGAGGTACCCATCCATCATCTGAGTCCTGGTCTCCGTCAATCTCGATTGAATCTTGATGGAGTTCATCCGGATTATCTTCTAATCCAACGTTGTTCGTCAAATCCTCTGCCAAGCGCATATCAGACGAGAGTGCCTGGTCCATGCCCAGCATTGGAGATTGAAAACCTCGAAGTCTCTGGTAAGCGCCTAAGTCTCGTTCATGATTTACTTCCCGTCGCAGGCGGACTGTTCGTGAGACTGGAACTTGTCGTTTGGTACGCGTCTTAATCATGAGATATGAGAAGGATATCATAAAGAGGGTTGGGTAAATATCGAGCGTGGAGTTGAATTGGTCGGTGAGTTAGTACTTCCAAGTGTCGTTTATATATGTAAGAATTGGTAGTGTCCAAGTGGTTTCCGGGTCGTTTGACCGAATTAAATGCTCCAATTGCCGCACAAGGATAACGAGAACGAATAAAGGAAGGTATCGGAGAAACTGTCACGATATTGATATCCAGTAAGCTTAGATGTGATCGATCGAGGCCTGAGGTAGTTTGATGTGATGGATTGGATGGAAGGGGCAAGATAGCTGAGATGATAAAGAGATAGCTTAGGTGACAATATGATAATGCTAGTTGGTAGCACACAAAATGGTAGTCAGCAGGTAACCTGGAGTGAATCTGAAGTAAATATACTTTGAATTATACATGAACCTAGGGAGATATCAACGACAAACTGAAATCATTCAATCACCAAACTCACCCATGTCTATCCAGTACTCCCCAAATCTTCACACAAAGCTCAAAAATTGGCGAAATTTCAGGGACTACCTAGTCAATTGAGAAATTTGGAATTTTGAAATAATGAAGTGATGAAGCTGGGTGGTGTGATTGTTTCAGGCAGTGGTGCTTTTATGAACAGAATTGCAGGAAATAAGGGAAAAGACTGATATGAATGAATTTTTGAACAAATCCACCTATTAGGCGGCAGCGCCCATTATGATGAAATATTTATAGCACAAACATTATAACAAAATTAGGTAATCGTTCATCCAAAACCCAATGCCCGCTTGGCCAAACGAGAAAGGAGATTGGGTCGGTATCTACCAAGGCACATTGAGCCTTTCAAAAACCCATCCACTTTTGGGAATGAAGCAACATAGAGGGGTCTTTCAAATGCATGGATAATTAATTCATTCTTACAGTTTGAAAATAACTTATCCATGCTTTTGAATTCAAATATCAAAGTGGATTGGGTCATTAGCAATAAAGTCACATGATGCCTCACATGACCCAATGCAACTTTGGAATGAACACACATAGGACTTTGGATTGAATCAACATAGATGGGTCATTCAAACATGGCTAAGTTATTTTCAAACTGTAAGAATAAATTATCCATGCATTTGAAAGAACTTGGAATGAAGCAACATAGATGGGTCATTCAAACATGGATAAGTTATTTTCAAACTGTAAGAATAAATTATCCATGCATTTGAAAGACCCCTCTATGTTGCTTCATTCCAAAGTGGCATTGGGTTTTTGATTCTCCAATACCCGGCAATGTTAATTCACTTATTTCATTCAATTCTCAACAATAATGGCACCAATGCCTTAATGGATGATTTTTTTTAAATATTCAGTCAGCAATGGTATTTCCCTTATTTCATTCAATTCTCAACAATAAAAGCACCAATGCCTTAAAAATGCCTTAATGGATGAATGCTTAATTTGTTTCTTTTTAATGTTTGGTCAAGACATAATTCTTCTTAATGATTGATGTCTAGAATTAATTTTTCTTAATGATTGATCCGGAACAAATGTTTATTGGGCAGTGGATGGTTTCCATACTACCTCCACCAATATCCACGCTTCCATACTAGCTCCACCAATATCAACGCATTGGCACCAATATCAACACATTGGTGTACTTGTCCCCTCATTCAGACTAGGTCTGAATGATATCCATATCACTGACTCGAATGACTTGAGGGATCCGGTTGATCGGAAGGTAAAAAATAGGCAGGTACCAGGGTCAGTAAAATGAATGATATCCATATCACTGACTCGAATGACTTGAGGGATCGATCCGGTTGATCGGAAGGTAAAAAATAGGCAGGGACCAGGGTCAGTAAAAAATGTATAAAAGGAATCCTGTCGGACTCAACTCCCAACTGTTCCTCACCCCAAACTCCCAGTCATTCGGTTCATCAAACCATCTCTAAACATCTGATTGACCCAGATTAGACATTGCTTACGTTGTCAAGGTCTTGGCGCATGGCCGGTTCCGCCTCGGCTAGCAGGGCCTCGCTCCTGGGGCATGTGCCGCCCCAAAAGCAAGCAGGCCGGAGACCCCGTGGCGGGGTCTATATGGAGGAGCTCAGGCGGCGAGTTTTGATGGGGAGTAGAGCTCCGAAGGCTGGGACTCTTACCGGCAGGCGCGGGGGCTCCACTGCGCAGCCGTCATCTTGCCCGACCCCCCCTGATACCAGTCAATTAGCGAAGCAACGGCGTAAGCCGATACTACAATCTGCCACTTCCAAAGCATCATTATCAACCCCCAGAACATCTTCCCTTCACTCTACCAATCTCGAAACGCGTCCCGCCACCGCCTCATCTCCCTCGGTCACCGGCGTTGTACATCGGCCTGCACTAACAATCACTGATCTATCATGTGAGCTCATTTCTTTTTTCCAAGGTCTTTTTGTTTGCATCATCATAAGTGAAAACTCATTATTTCATCGAATGCAGTCCCAGATTCGCCACCATCCAAAATGATCCCACCGACTTTTGGGCATTTGGTGCCCC